TCTGTTATTCTGTATGATTGTAGTTATCACATCTTTCCAGTTCTATACACTACGAAAAGCATCTGTGACATTTGGTTATCTATTTTCAGGAAGCTGCTGCTTTCTCTCGAACTTGGAGGGGACACATGCAAAATTGTCTTGGCTATGCATGTTCGGTCTACTGTGTGTATAAAATGATTAAGGTATGGCTGTGATTTTCTTTACAGTTTGGAGGAGATTACCATCCTCTGTATTTCTGGTAGTCATCATTATAGTGTCTACTCTTCTTTAACATTATGGTAATTGTTACTGATTGGAGGTTGTATCTGTTTTGGCAGTCTTTGCAAAGTGTTATATTCAAAGAGGTACCCTTCTATCTATTATAGTTATGTGTATCCACTTTCAAAATATGTTGCCGAATGCTACAACGTCGGCTGAGTTTCTTCTCGTATCAAGAAAGTTCATGAATTTTTCTTTTTATCCAGGCTGGATCTGTAGATCCTGTCACAATGACCATTAGTATATCCTTACAGTTCTTTGACATAGGAATCAATGCTGCACTATTGTCTCAGGTCAGTTAAAATGTTTAACCTGGATTTTCTACATGTTTATTTTTGTGCTGGTTTATCTTCGTCTTTCTTTTATCACTTCGACTTTTCATATAGAAATATTGTTTCTCGTGTTCTCTTGGACGCTTAATCCAGTGGAGTAATTAGTGACAGATGATTGCAGTAGTTTAAAGTCCAGAACATTAAAGAGCTGCTGAGTTAATTAGTGCATAATTGCGTGAGTTTATATTCAGTACGATTGGCATAGTGGCTTCATAGATAGGACTCTGACTAAGCCTTCTTATTGAACAACAAAACTGTAAGACTGGTCCAGATTATAGCAAAGGCTATCAAACCTGATTCTTCTAGCACCTCTACTTTCTACATCCCTTTGTGCTTCTGGATTTGTGTTGCATATAATTTGAATTATTATAGACATAGTCGGCATGCAATTTTCCCATATTACTCCAAAACTAGATACTTCACTGAAATGAGTTGCCTGTTTCCTTGTCTTGCTTGGGGAACGCTGAAATAAAACTTATGGCTGTTGTGTATATATCTGTTGCTGCAGTACATTTCTTTGATGTTCATCGGATTGTTGATAGTGATTTCAGTTCGGGGGTTCTTGTCAAATTTGATGAAGGTACTTTTCCCATCTCCATTGCTCTCTGTCGCGTCATGTACAATTGGAACTCATCATTTTAACATTTTAGAATCAAAATAAGTGTGAGTCTCGGTTTTTTTATTATCTCTGGAATCAAAGTTGTAGACGGTGGCTTTCAGTTGGTACATAATACTGGAGTGGCCGTCTTGTTATCTTCGTATCTCCGGTAGGCAGAAAAGAAGCAAAAGAAAACCTGGGGGGGAGGAGGGTTGTTGGTTAGCGGTTATGTAAACTGGCACTTTAGCTGTCGCCATAACAAGTGAAGCAATGTAAGTGTGAGTTTCCATCATGTAAGGGCTGTGAATGTATAAATAGAGGTGTGAGAAAACTCCTTCCAGGTCCCAGTACCCTACAAACTAGTGAGAAATAGGAATCTTGCTTGGGTAAACCGCAGTTGAACACTGTAGAAAACACTGGAAACTAACCTAAATGCCCGCACCAATTCCTTATGACTTTCCAAGTCTCCATCATTATGTTTGTGGGTTACCTTTCAAACTTTATCTTGGCCTGTTTCCAGTTTTTCTTCGCAGTGTCCAGAGCTGGGAGTGGGTCCTCAAGCAACGTTGTGCTTTTCCTATCTGAAATCATGGGGATGTATTTCCTCTCTTCCATTCTGCTGATAAGGAAAAGCTTAGCCACCGAATACCGGTACGAGTAATTTGGCCTATACGATGTTTTACCCTGTCCTCCCAAGTTGCAATCTTTCATTTCTTTACATCCAATAAGAAAAACCTCCAAAGTATGCTTCATATTGTGTCTTGGGCAGGATGATCATAACCGACGTGCTAGGTGGGGATATCCAGTTCGACTTCTATCACCGGTGGTTTGACGCCATCTTCGTGGCAAGTGCATTCCTTTCCCTACTTCTGCTCTCAGCTCATTACACCTCTCGACAGATCGATAAGCATCCCATCGATTGATAAGCAATACCATCGACTGACAAAATGCACCTCCTCCAAAGTTGTACTGTGACAAAAAAGCTGCAAATCTCAAATACCATACATGAACACCAAGGCAGAGGGATCGGGCTTCTATTCCCTGACCTGCTGGGGATGTCTCAGCGGAGAGACATTGTTGAGTTGCAGAGAATGTGAAAGCAAGACTCTGTTTTGTGGTGTGGGTGACTGTACTAATTGCATAGGTGGACTTGGGGGGAAATGTGGTGGTTTCATTGATGCTAGCTTCTGCGGTGTTTATATCTCTACCAAATACCAATTGTCTTTGTTAATTATTATTCTGCAAAATGTAAAGCCATATTGGTAGATGAATAAAGAGGCTAACTGTACCAGTATTAATGGAAGAAGAAGCCAAGGCATCAACGGACAAAACCCGTACTACCGAATTGATTAGTTCTGGTTTAACTTTGATGGCGAAAAGGGAAAAAGATAGGCTGCAGCCCAAAACTATACAGTTACAGCATATATTATTTTCATGATCAGCTCTACTCTTGCTATAGCATGTACTTTCCGGTTCATAATGTAATTTAGGTCGGTTGTCTTTTCCAAGCTCGTTTTTTGCATGAAAAACCACGAACATCAAACTTTATGTTCGGTAGAGGAACTTTATAAATTCGGTGTTTGCATGTATATGTTTTATTCGAATAATAATATTGAAGGTATAAGTTTAATCTGTATCACAAATGAATGTGCATGAAAATGATTAGTTAAAAAATGAATTGTACTATAGGTAACGATAAAATACATGTTCTGTTTGTATTGTTTAGAAATTTGTATGTAAAGGTAAAGCTACGTATGGAATTTGTAATATAATGTTAATAGTACAAATTCAGTTTATCTTGTAAATATTTTTAATAACTAAAAGCACGTGTACTTGTTAGCATAGAAGCGGAATTTATATAATAGAGATATTAATATAACATGGTGTACTATAAATAAAACTTCGCATCAATAAGAGAAATTAGAGTGTTGACTTAATAATATTAGGGATTAGCATCATACTAACTACTTAATCACTGTCCATTACTACTACTTAAACTAGTAGTGATTTTGGTAGTTAAAATAGCCATTTTACAATTTCTTCTAGCGAATTAATTGTTATTAGTAGTGATTAAGCACATTCCCAGAATCTATGATTGTTCTAGATCGCATCGTGCAACTATGATGCCTTCAACATTGAGCTCATTGCACTTAGGAATGCTATTCAATAATGTATTTTTCATTATGAACAAATATTCTATTTTGTGGTGTTGCACAGGTGATCAGGCATATGATTAATACGAATTATTCGACGCACATGTTGGGTGGCAGTCTTCTCTTTGAGGTTAAGGTTTTTCGCGCCTCAATGCAGCATGCATCGTTTCACTTCGCGTCGCGTAAGTATAACAGGGTTGCCCATCTCGTGGCGAAAAAAGCCCTCTTATCGTTGGATCGTCGGTTGGTCGACCAACGGCTCTTCCTTACTTCTTCCTTGTAATTTGACCTGCAGATATCCTTTTATTTTGTCGTATCTAGTGATTGTGGAATTTTAGAAAGGAATGCTACTGAAAAGGAAGAATAAACATCACAAATCAGCAAATCATTACTAGTAGGCAAGAAAAATTACTATTGCAAACACCTAATACACATTCAATGCTAATACAAGCAAATACCTGCTACACATTTGTTACTAATATGAGCATTAACCCAAGCACAATCACTACTATAGAAATATTATACAACTGTCCCACCACAACTGCTTCGTCAGATCCACCGTGGTTTTGTCACCCAACAACTGTTCCTTCACAAAACTCATATTTGTCCCTCGTCGCATGCCTCCTCCATCACCATCGACACCCCATGACCATGTTGTCATTGCATGAGAAAGAGAGTCTTCATATCTGAACCTTCCTCAATCAACATCGACACCCTCGCTGCCTGCCTCCTCCATAACCATCGCCATAAGGGGTTATATTAGGGTGTGGATTTCTTGATGCTATTCCCTTCATATGGACCCAACGCCAAATTCGTGAGGATCTAGGCCCTAAGCGGACAATATCGAGTCAAGAAAAGGTTTGAAAATGTTAAAATTGGTATCAGGTTTGAAAGCGGATAATATTGAGGTAATATGAGTGACTTCTCATATCAAGACGAAATCAATTTGATGTTTGATACCTCTAAGCGGTGGCAACCCTTGTGGTGCCTCTTCGGGAAACACATCCTCAAATTACTGCAAAATAGAACGAATTTCACTAGGCAAGCTAGTGGCTAGTTCAACATTTAAGAAAGTCTCATTGTATAGAAGCAGGATCATGTCGTGTTTGTGGTTCCAGACCTACTTCACCTCATTAGCTCTCACAATAAATTTCTCAACCTTACGTGGAGCTTCTTTCGTCACTATCTTCTTTTCGACGTTTGAACTTTTATTATTCTCTCGTGGTTGACTCACAGAGGTAGGGACACTCTAATTTTCTCTCGTATCTTCTCTCAACTCATTTTGTTGCTCCCTTTATTTCTCAAAAAGTTATTGTAGCTTCAATTGTTCGTTGTAGACCTCTTTGGGAGTCCGTGGCACCAACACTTGAGTTCAACCCTCACAAGACAAGGTGTACTTGTTGGTCTTGCCATCGTGTTGGGCAGCTTGATCAAATTGCCATGAACGACCCAATATAATGTGTGTAGCTTGTATGAGCACCACGTCACAAAGCACTAGGGCTGCAAATGAGCCGAGTTGAGCCGAGTTTTACCCCAGCTTGAGCTCGGCTCGTTAATAAACGTGTTGAGCTCGAGCTCAGCTTGTTTATTAACTAGTCGAGCTCGAGCTAGCTTGTTTAATAAAATCTTGACTTTTATTTGGTACTTCATTTTGTATATCATGATACATATGATTTATTTTGTTAGCTAATCTCATATTATACTTTGTTGATATCATATATCATTTAGTTATAAATTTTAACTACTCCAAATCATATTATTTCATAGTATCATAGCAATCTATGATACATATTTTCTTTTTAAAATAGAAAATAAGATATATTTTCTCACATACTCAACGTGTTAAACTTTATATATGGCGAGATATACAACTTAACAACCATATGAATTAAAATCATAAGATATATATATTGATTCGTCCATAAGTCGGTAATCGAGTTGGCTCTCTAGCCACATGTTGAGACATATCATGAGCTCTAAACGAGCCAGTTCACGTGTTTAGCTCAACAAGCCACCGAGATGAGCTAGCTCGCGAGCTTCACGAGCTGAACAAAGTTTAGCTCATACTTGCCTCATTTATTAACGAGCCGAGTTTCGAACGAGCTTTTCTCGAGTCGAACGCCAAGTCGCTCGCGAGCAGCTCGACTCATTTGCATCCCTACAAAGCACCTCATCCTTGTACCTCCAAATCTCAAAGTTCAGAAGCATTTGCCGAGTGACTTTGATGGCGGCATCACCGTTCAACCATTGCAAAGTATACGAAAGTGGATGTTTAAGAGTCTTCATCCCATTCTTTGCCACCATATGAGAGCTTACCACGTTGGTACAACTCCCTCCATCAATGACCAACGAGCAAAGCTTCCCATTGACCAAGCAACCAGTATGAAACAAGTTATCTTGCTTCTCAATCTCTTCCTTTGGTTGCACACTCAAGATCCTTCTAGCAACATATGAAAAATTACCATGTACAGGTAGCTCTTCAACTTCATCTTCTTCATCTTCAGTTTCGACTTCACTTTGTTCTTTTTATGACTCGTATTAACCATTATCCATCAGAATCATAGTCCTTTTGTTTGGGCATTGATTAGACATATGAACACGACCCTGAAAACAGATACACAAAATGGAGCTAGTTGTGTATTAGAAGCAACCTTGTCTCCATTATTTTGTGTGTTTGGCTTTGGTGTCGGCTTTGGCTCCTCAATCTTCACAAAAGGATCTCGAGGAGCACTTGTGCAAGCATTAGTTGAAGGTGTGGACCTTTTTGCAAAGCCTCCCCGCTGTTGTTTCTCAACTAATGGTGAGTCTTCACGACATGTCTAATTTCTCGATGGAACCATTGAGAAAGCTAGCCATAGTTGCCTCCCTATCTTCATTGGTGTGAGCTCGGATCATAAGGGTCTCCATCTCCTTGAAATAACCCTCCTCGCTCTTCATACTATGACTTAGTGCATGGAGGGCTTGGTGAAGCTCATGTCGATGATGAATAGGTACATATCTCTTTCTCATAACTGCCTTCATCTCTTGCCACGTAGCTATGGGTTCTTCCTCATGCATCCTTCTCGTGGCACGCGAGCGGTCCCACCAAATAATCGCTTAGTCAGAAAACTCAAGGGCAACTAGGGGTGGAAATCGGTATGGTATCGGTATCCCAATACCAAATATCGAAATCCCGAATACCGAATTACACCCTAAAATCAATCCCAATCCCAATCCCTAAATAATTTCGGTATCCCAATCCCAATCCCTAAATATTTCGGTATCCCAATCGGTACTTCGGTATCCCAATCAGTATTATCAAATACGAAATTAATTACCTTTGCAATTAACAATTAAATATATAAAATAGATTTGGTTGTTTAATTTAGGGAAAAGAGACTAAGCAAAGGGTCTTGAGTTTGCCTAGAGCTAGGATATGGATAAAGAGAATGTAGGAGAGGTAGCATCTCAAGTTCTTGTCATTGGTAATCTTTGATTTTACGAGTTGTAGGTTGAGAGATGACTAATACTACTGTTTGCTTTTTGGTATTATGAAAATAACAAGTGATTAGGTGAGAGACGAGAATTACTTAAATTGAAAAGTAAAAATTGAGTTGGATGGGGATTTTTAAGTTGTGAAATAGAGATCGAATTATCTATGTATAATTAAATGACACTCTTGGTGGTTGAGGGTCGTGTAGTAGTGAATGAGAAAGTCTAGTTGAGAGGATAAAATACACACTTGCTTATATTTCGATATTGATCGGTATTTCGGTATATACTGATCCCAATCTCATAATCCCTAACACCAAATTACAATTGAAATTCAATCCCAATCCCAAGAAATAATACGTGTATTCGATAATACCAAATATAGACAAAATTCGGTATGGTATTCTTTATATCCCAAACACTGGTACCAAACTTCCATCCCTAATAAGGGCAACTATGGTTACCTTCTTTCGATCAGAGTAGTCATGACACTCGAACATGTACTACATCTTCCGTTCCCACTCTAGGCAAGCTTCTGGGTCACTCCTTCCTTGAAACAAATGAACCTTCAACTTCATCCCCATCATATCATCATATATGTGTTGGGGAAACTCTTCCTCTTTGTAGTACTCCTCAAAGTCTGGATGTTCTGGAGCCATTCGAGCTTGAGGTTAAGCACACTCTCCTTTACCTTGACCTCTTCCACCTCTTACTTGTAAGGCGTCAACTTGAGGGTTCCTCAAGGCTTGATACTAACCATCATTGCCTATGAAACGCAGCAAATATCGATTAGTGACACAACAAATACAAAGACGGGAAATAACTTGAAACTAAACCACGACTGGGAATATGGTCAAGTATATAAAGTGACTCCACAACTAGGATGATTGACTAGTTGATAATGACGTTGGGCTGTCCTTGCTTGCTCGATTTAAAAAATGGACAAGAAAGATAACAAAAGTTCGATGTTGAACACTAAAAACTTGGGTTTCGATTGATAATAACTTTTTCAGCCCGTAAGCAAATCCTCCTCTATTTATAGAGGTTACCAAACAATGTTTCTACCCTTAATTAACTAAAAAATCCGACTCCTAATAGCTATAGAATCCAAAAACCAAAAGGAAAGGAAATACAACCAGAATCCTCCCAAAAGGTTCCATTCACACCTTGTGCTCACACCAAGGATGACTTAACCATCTAGTAAGCTTATTTCTGCCTTCTGCCGAGTTGAGCTCTTCTTCTTGGACGTGGATGATGGTGGTGTCTTGGCCCACGAATAATTCAGACTCCAACGATATGAAACTCTTAGCCAAATAATCTTGTAGTTGTGTCTTTAATGCTTTGGTTTGACTTTGAGTGACTAGACCTTCACTTTGAGCAGCCTCCTCTCGCACCAATGTTGGGGTTTTAATAGCTTTGGTGTTGATGCCCTTATGACCAACAAAATCCGTGAAGGTCTTAGACCCAAAATGATAATATCTTGTAAGAAAAAGGTTCAGAATGTTAAAAGATCACTTACAAACAATCACTTATCTTAGTATTTCCGTTAACTAACTCTCCAAATTGACAAATAAGCCAAAGCTTTGAACTAAAATGTCCAATTCGCCTTTATATTTGTCTCTCCATTTCCCACACCCACAACCCCTTTGTGTGCTTAGGTAACTTATCAATGAAACAACAGTCAGGGTTAGTGTTTCATTTATATGTTCTCCTTAGAAGTGATATAAGAGAGTTCTAGCATCACAAGGAGGAAAGTGTTTCATTTATATGTTTTCTTGACTAATCTTAGAGTTAGGGAAACATCCCCAAGTGCCTCATCTTCTGTAAAAGTTAAAGTGTGCTTCAGTAGCTAGTTTTAGATTGATAACGCTATAATTGCACATATTTATTCCCTCATTTCTTGGTCGATTGCGCTTGGTTTCTTTCATATTAAGCCTATGTTACGCTAGTTTCTGTTCTTTTTGGCACATTTCATGTCCTAGTTGGTAATAGGAGCTTTAGAGCAAGTTTCGGGCCAATCGGAAATCGTTTGGCGACTTAAGGTGGACCAAAGTAAAAGAACACGGGTTGCCATTGTAAAACATGACTCTGTTTCAAAGAAAAGAGCCTGTGTTTCAGTTGAAGAAGCACGGCCAAATTTTGAGCCAAAACACTTCCAGTGTTCCATGTGTAGTGAAGAAACACGAGCTAAGCAAGAAATGAAACACAGTCGTGTTTCACTAAGTTTTAGGTTGTGTTTCAACTAGAAAGAGAAAACACGCATAAAATCCAAACATGGGCTCGGTCGTATTTTATCTTGAAGAGCTCGTGTTTCCCTCACGAAGGAACTTAAGTGAAACGTTGAGCTTTGAAGAAACACGGTCTGAAGCTAAAACACGAGCAAGGAACACAACCGTGTTTTAGCCAACTACGGGATTAAGAGCCATTTTTGGGATTTTTTAGAGGGATTCGACTTTTGAACGCAAAAAACTAGAGTTTTGGAGAGAGAAAGTGAAAAAGAAATGTACATTGGAGCCGATTTGAGCCTTGACTCCACCATTGGAGCTCGGATTTTCCCTCTTAGAGTGCACATTGACATCTTAGAGCAGATCATCATCATCATCATCATCATCATCTTTATGAGCATGGGTTTCCTCTCTCTCTCTCTATGGAGTAATCTTCTCTCTAACTTAGGTATGAAGAACCCTAGTTCCATTTGTTAAGAGAATGATCGTATGAACCCTTGGATTGGTGAATTGATTGGTTATATTCAATTGATGTATAATTCATGATTGATTGAGTCTTGATCACATTCTTTTGATTATTGATTTAACCTGAGAAAGAGCAAATCGAATTGGGCAAAGAGAGCATCCTTAATTGGAAGTAGTGAATCGATTTCATGAATAGTGAATCGAATTACAGCTCTGTACTGGAATCCATTCCTGTAGAGGAGGTCTATTTTCATTTGCTTGGCATTTTAGTTCGGTTGAGGATAATCTCCCCGACTAATCTATTTAATAGATTTTGGTATGCTTTAGTCGACGTTCGTAGCTAATACCATACCTTCTGTAGTAGAACTATCAATGAACTTAACTAAGATGAATTATAACTTTGACCTAACTACGAGCTAGAGGGAAACATACCTGAGTGACCTTTGGCATCTGAATTTGAACCAATTTTGATGCTTTGTTACTTTAGCTTTAGTAATTGACAATACAACATGGTTGCTAGATAATAGACAGTTCGCCGAGTAATAATACAGCTAGGCCCCTTATTGACATTAGAACTTCATTCCACTATAGTACTCCCTAGTCTGTGGTTAAACTTGGCTACTGATTAGAGTGTCGGTTTTAGTGAGTCAAGATTTTTGCGCCATTATCAAGGACGGATAGATGATTAGAAAACGTGAAAATTTGTTACTTTAGCTTTCTTTTTTCGCACTTATTTCTTCTTTTCCTCTTGCATTTCACTAGGTATATTTTTGCATTGTTGTGGTAGGTTCTAGTGCATGACCCGTAGTCAAGAAGGAGACTAACTACCATTGGACAACAACATCAACACAAACCTTCAAAACTTGAAGAAGGAAAAGATCGTTCGGTTAGCCCTCTTTCATAGAGAGACTAGTGATAATGCTAGTGAGACATACATCAAAGTTACGGAGGAAGACGAGCAATCGAACTATGAAAGGACCATGTGGGGTACTACTTCACCCCCAAGGTCGAGGAGATAAAGCCCGGCATTGTGCATCCACACATTATTGCTAGTAACTTTTAAATCAAGCCTGTGGATCATAATGATTCAGAGCAGTATCCAGTACCACAACCTCTAGTATGAAGAACCACGTGAGCATCTCAACCAGTTACTTGAGCTCACAGATGGGATTAAGGCAAATGAGGTACCTCAAGATGTTGTTCGACTGATTTCCTTTCTCATTGGCCAGTAAAGCGTGACATTGGCTAAATGGGCAGGCTCCCTTATCCATCACTTCCTGGACAGATCTGATGAACACGTTCATGAACCGGTACTCCCCACCTTCCAAAGCTTCAAAGATCACTTATTTTTCCTAGGAGGATGATGAGTCCCTCCGCGATGCTTGGAAGCGGTATTCCAATTTATTCTTGAAGTGCCCGCATCCAGTGTAGTCAAAAGCGCGTTTCTACATAGAAGCGTTTTGGTGATATAGAAGCGTAAAATCGTAAGTTTTAAGCTTTAAAGCGTAGTTTTTAATTACATTAGTTACAAAAATAGAGATTATGCGTAGAAGCATTTTGGTGACCTAGAAGTGTAAAACCGTAAGATTTTAAGTTTTAAAGCGCGATTTTGACTACATTGCCCACATTATGGCTTTAATGACCCCTTCAAGGTGGACATATTCTACAATGCCTTCCTCGCCAGCTAATAGACACCTTTTGCCCAGCCGTGAACTAGATCCTGCCTCAAATGACCCATGTGTTTGAAGATATGGTTGCTCGGGGCTATGATTGGGACTCTAGGAGAACACAACTTAGCATAAAATAAGCCTTGGATGCAAGAAACCATGCTCAAATGACCAAAAAATGAGGAAATAAACATGTGTATTTATGATGTTAATTATGACTTATGAAAATATCTAATTTTTGTCACTGTGAGTGATGAGACGAAACATAAATTGTCGAATTTTCACTTATCAAATTAAGTTTTTTTTTTATCGTTGACAGAATATTACTGTAGTATTTTTGTATAAACATGATTTAGTCTTAGAAGAGAAGAGAGGGAGAAAAACCCCAGAAATTGTAATTAATACTCTTTAAATATATATACATTGTAACAGGGCCGGCCATGAGGGTGTGCTGGCCCGCCCTCCGGCACAGGGCCTTAGAATATTAGGGGCCTCTACTTAGATTCATTAGTTAGTTACCGATCGTATATTGTAGGTTGTATTTTTAGTGTATAATTGATTGATTATGAGTATGATGATGTGTTTAATAGATAATTTTAGCTATAATAACAATTGAAAAGGATCTCATGGAGAATACGAAAATCTGAAAAATAATAGATAATTTAAATTTAAATAATATAGAAAGATATTACATTTTGAATAATGTTATTATAATCATTTTAGTTTTATTATAGTTAAAGGTCGATTTGGACCACCTCTAGATTTTGAAATAGGGCCTCCACGATCTAGTAGACAACCCTGCACCCACCTCTCGATCAATTTAGACTATTTTCATTTCTCCATTCAATTTTTTGCGCTATATCCATTTTCTCTTCCTTCCAGATTTACTTTCCTCCCTACTAGGGCTGGGAATTCGGTCTTGGTTTCTTGGTCAAACTGGAAACGAAATCGTTTATTCCTGATGTAATCTTTTTCTGAACTTAAGTATTTTTTTACAATTATTTACTAATTTTTAATTTTGATAAATTTATGGGGAAAAAAATTAGGGCCACATTTTAAATTTTCGAACAGGGCCTCCAAATATCATGGGACGACCCTGCATTGTAAGCCATGGTTGTCATTTGCCAAAGCAGTGGTTTGCCAATCGGTACTAATTATAAACCTGGCTAGAATACTTCCGGTATTGACCGATATAATCAATTAACAAAAAAGATAATTTTGATTTTTTTTAAATTTGAAATTTAAATGTTGATATTATTTGTTGGATTCAAGTATAAACGTTGGATGTTAGTTTTTAAATGTTGTAGGTAAATATGCTAATTTTTTTTATTTTGTTTATAATGTTATCTTTCATTTCAATATGAATGTAGATTGTAAAGAGATTTGGTATATTATATATATACCCAAATCCATTTTTTTTAATAGAAAATTCATTCCATGTTAATAATTCCCTATTTTTCTATAGGTTATACAGAAGTCAATAAATTAATTGTACCACTGATAAGAGCATAGTACTTGCCAAATCGACATAACGATTCAACGATTTTACAATCTGTAATAAACCGTAGACATATAGAGATTAGAGAGAGAGAGAGAAAATCTAGAGCAAGAAATGGATTTGGGGCGATTGATTATTATCATTTTCTTGTTTACTGCTCTTTTGCATATTTCCCCCCTCCCCTTATAACAACAGAGATAGCTCCGCCAAACAAACAATACAGTGAAAGACCACAGAGAGAGCGAATTGAATTAGCAGAACGAGGAAGACAACGACGAGGACAGAGTAAGGATTTGAACAACCCCCGTTTTTCCCCCTTTCAGATCACTTCCATTCTGACATCGTAAATTTAGGGGGGAATTTGTCCGAGAGAAAAATTGATTAACTTTCTTCTCCCCCGTTATTGAAATAATTCTTCCGCCGTACGTATTGCTACTGGCGGTACTGTCTGTATTTGTATTCCGTCTCGCGTCTTTATTATTGTATATATGTATCAGATCGTCTCGGGGAGGTACGGCCTTGGGTTTTTTCTCTTCTTTTGGTGAGTGTTGTTTGGTTTCATGTAGAGAAAGTATAGGGAAGAGGGCAATCGTTTTAACCTAAGGTACAGAGAAATTTCTTCCCACGATTTCGAAACTGTTTGCCTGGTCTTCGTGATTTCATTTGGCAATCAATTGGAGGGAGTTAGAGGGAGAGGGAGGGGGTAGGAGGAACGATAAGGAAGGAAAGGAAAAGGGGAGGGGATAATTGGTTGTTCGATCGAGTTTCGCCCGCCGCATGAACGTGTCCGCGAGGGGCGGAGGATGTGAGAGTTCTACAATGTGGCGGCGATGATTTGCTGGTGCCAAGAGTCTATGGAATTAGGGTTTTGGATTTTGGTGAATTCTTTTTATTCCCATTGGCTGTCCTGGTTGCAATCTGATTGTGATTCAATGCATTCGTTATTGCCCTGTTTGTTAAGTTAAACAGTGCCAATCTCGTAATGGGTAACCAGCAAATTACAGTTTTTTAAGCATTTGTCAGTCCAAGCAATTGGGGCTCTCTCTGTCCTTCCCAGCTGTATCTTTGACCTGCTTCTGGATTCTATACTTCTTTTGGACCAGATTCTGCACTGGGTGCTTAGGGTTCTAGCAATCTTCCCACTCCATTATGAATATGATTTCTGCTTTTGATCTCCTGGTTAAGTAGCTAGCTCTTTTAACTGATGAGTTGTTGACGGGTATTGTAGGTCACATGAGTTTTGAGAAGGAGTTACTGCATGCGGCTGCAGTTTGATGAACCCAAGCAGGATATTAAGAATCTGGTGAGTGGGGAAAGGTGACTTAAGTTCTGTTCCAAGTCTTTCTCTAGTTGCAAACTTCTGTCTTTCCCCGTTTTCAAATGTTACATTTTTTATACATATATAAGAGCACTTGTGTGGGTGTATTTGTTTGTGAATTTACTTCTGCTGTCATGTACCTGATTCTGGTCATCCAATATTCTTGTTATTGCCCATGGAGTCATTGTTTCTCTCTCTTGCATTAATCCATTTGCTGATGCCCTTTGCATCACAAGCTTGAAACGCCCTGCCTTCAGTTAACATGCTCTTGAGTGCGCATTGCCTTTCATCGAAGTTCTGCCTTTCAACATCCTTTCGTTTTTACTGCATCTCTGCTGTTGTGAAATCTCTTCAAATTGAACCAACTACTTGATAAAGCTGGTCTATGTCCAGAAAAAAGGTTCTGGTTGCATGCCAGATGCTCGGTCAAATGCCGTCACAGAATTCTTTGGTGCCAAAATGACCATTTTGGTTGAATATTTCTTTATTTGCGAGATAGATATCAAGTTTACTCAATAAGTAGTTTAAGCTACTTTGATCCCTGATCTGTGCCACTATCAAAACCTGATTACTTGCCGGAAAGAATTCTTTTGTTGGAAGTTGGAAGCTTACTTAATAGTAACGGGATACCCCTGTGTGTGGTTTATTTTTCTTCTTCTTCTTCTTCGACGTTCACATTTATATTGGTTCATTTGAACCTAATTTCAGAGTCCTCTTACTTTCAGTAGTATCTTGAGGTGCGCACTCAAGTGATCTTCAAGCATGATGCCCTATATTTTCTTAATTTATTAATTTCTGTGGGTTGTACAGCATTGGAATTCATAAACTTGAACAATTTGTCACTTTATGTGGTTCACTTGGATATGTCTTCATTTTTACTTATCCATTTGTTCACGTGCTCTCATTGTATACATGTTTTCAGTTTGAGGTGATGCTATTGAACTTATTCCTTTTTGTTTTGGTTTTCGCAGGTTTGATCAGTATCATCACAGGCTGAGGAAGACACAGGAAACTAATCAATGCGTCCGAAGGCTCATACCGGAGTGGAATCTGGAACCTGTAACGTGTGCTCCACTCCTTGTTCATCTTGTATGCATCGGAAGCAAGCCTCTATGGGATCGAAGGGTGATGAATATTCCGACGAAACTTGCCATGTAACTGAAATAAGCCAGAATTCCGTTAACAGGGAGGATTCCCTAGTCTTTAAAGGTCGAAAATCCAACATGTTGCAGCATACCACCAGTGAGGCAAGTTATGTTCCCAGTGTTGATTCCAGTAGAGATTCATTGTCTGAAAGTGCTGAAATCAAAGCTAATGTAAGGACATCAGTTAAGCTTGAGGCTTGCCCAATTTTGAAGCATGTTGGAACTGTTTCTGAGGGTCCTCTTTCTCCTAAGCCAGAGTTTGTTGCATATAAGCGAAATGGGTCAAGTAAGCCTGTTGATTCTAAAGCTGTAGAAGGCCATGGTGACAACATATCTTGTGTGTCAGGGGCTAATGTGAGCAGTCTCCAAGGTAAATGTGATGATAAGTTATTATTTGCTTTTGTTAGTTCTATCACTCTAGTAATTTTCAGAGGTAATAGTTTGCAATTAAGATGTGTTAAGAGTGTTTGTTGGTTGATGCAGATGCTGGCAGAAAGGTGCCCTTCAAGAATAACAGTCTTTTGCCCAATACAAAGGTTGGAAACTTGAAGGGGGATCCAATCAGTCGAGTTTGTGGAGAAGCTTCTGCACCTGATATTCTTCTTGGTGGTAATACAGCTATGCGCAATGGTGCAGATAACAATCCACAAAGTAGAATTGTAACTCAGGGGGATGCATCTGAAGTTTCAAGTAAACTCGGTGAAGAGATCAAAGAAGAAATTGATAATGATAGTGGACGTCAGCCAATAGGTCTCAATTGTTCTACCAGGGTTGGGCAAGATCATAAGGTGGATGAGTCAGTTGAGTTACCGAATGTTCAGGAGTCACCCGCGGAATCTGCATCTGCCAGTGAGAGTGAAGACTCAGAAATTGGGGAACAAGACGTAAGAGATTTTTTCTTTTACTTGTCGAACATCTTATAAGCATAAGTGTGAATTGCTTTTCATGTGCCTCACTGTGCATCTCTTGCCTCAGTCCTTGTTTTCTTCCCAGCCTTAATTTTCTATTCATTTTTTTGGACTTGCGGGATATCGACATCTGCCAATGAGAGTGATGACTCTGAAATTGTGGAACAAGACGTAAGAGATTTTACTTATTGAACATCTTACAAGCACAAGTGTGAACTGCTTTTCATGTGTCTCAATGTGCATCTCTTGCCTCAGTACTTGTTTTTCTTCCCAGCCTTAATTTTGTATGTGTTTTTTTGGACTTGCGGGATATCAAAAAATAATCTGTCTGAGGTTGGCTTGAGAATTGAGGAAGTGTAACATTGGGAGTGACTCTGAATGTCGATGAAGAAACTTCCATATGTATTCACTAGGGACAGTTATGGAAGTGTGCATCTCTTATACATCCTGGGACTGCTGCTAATGGTCTGTGGTAGTGCTATTTCCATGTTTGTAACTTGTAATTCAGTGGGCCAGTTATGCATGTGCCCATCTTTTATACATCCTGGTTTTGCTGCTGGTGGTAGTGCTATGTGCTTGTTTGAAACTTTTAATTCACTAGGGGCAGTTCTGCAAGCATGCATCTCTTATACATCCTAGGGTGGCTGTGAATGGTTGGTGGTAGTGCTATGTGCATGATTGTAACTTGTAATGCTCCACATACTATGTCCATATGTTGGAGAAGAGTATGCTCTTCTGTAGATCGCTTAGCCCCGTGCACCTTTGGTGCAAGAGCACTCGATCAGTGAGCTATTACGCTTTTATAAGATATCGTTCAGTTTCAATTTTTGAAACTGGAGTGATTTACTTGGAGGCCCCGAATCCAAAAGGGTCGGTGCGTTTGGTTTTGACCTGTGTTTTCCATTTTCATTCTGTGGATGCCTCGTCGTTAAGAAGGCAAAGTAAATGCAGGGATTGAAGGAAATTTTTTTAAACTTTTATCTTTTCTGTTAGTTGATTGATGGAAATTACAATGGAGGTCATGCAATTGTATTAGCCCCCTTTATTGAAATTTTATATATATTTCCCTGAAATGGATTCAACATGCTTTGGAACAGGTAAAAGTATGCGATATTTGTGGGGATGCAGGTCAGGAGGAAAAACTTGCAATTTGTAGTAGGTGCAGTGACGGTGCGGAGCACACGTAAGCAGTTTGTACAGTACTTTCTTGTTGTCTAACCTTGTTTTATTATTTATACAAATTTGTAGTATTTAGCATTTTGTTTCACAAGATTACTCTTGTATTTATCAGTTATTGCATGAAAGAAATGCTCCTAGAAGTTCCTGATGGCGATTGGCTATGTGAAGAGTGCAACCTAGCTTTAGAACTCGAAAAACAGAAGCAAGGTATAGCTAAAGTGGTATCTGTAGTGGCTCTTCCGAAGAGTGAAATACTTTCATGTGCCCATGATTTGCTAGTGCTACCTGTAAGAGTCCTTGATGACATTTTGTTCGCTTAGATTCAGAGGGAAAAAAAGTAGGCAAAGGAACTTCGCAAAGCTTCAAGAAGAGGCCTTCTGAAATGGTAGAGGTGACCTCAAGTTCAAAAAGGCAGGCTATTGACATGGGTTCAGGATCACCCAAACAATCCAGCCCTATGGGAGTTGCTACACTGCATCGTAACAGTTCTTCCAGGAGTTTGGATAAGGAGAAAGTAAAGCCAAGCCATCAAACATATTCTGGCAATCACTCTGTTAATGATCCTGAAAGCACTCGGTTTCCTAATACTGCTCCACGACTTCAAAGTCCCAAGGGTAAAAACTTCACTTATTTTTTGCTGAATTTTGTGTGACAAACCCTGTTGTTTCCTTTTTCCATATAATTCTCACACTTGATTGATCATGTTTGCTACTGGACAGAAAATTTATTTCCTCTTGACCTTTGGCTTGGAGTTACTCTTCTGAAGGATATAAACTTGTGTGTCTAGATGGGAATTAGATGAATATGGAATGGAAGGAATTCCATGTAATAAGTAGTTAGTGATGAGGGAGGAAATATTTATTAAGTATCTGTTCCTCCACTAAAATGTATTTTCCTTTTTAATGGATGATAGCTATCGTGGCTCTGCAGGGAAGGTGGCTATACTGGTGGTTGCTTACAGTTGTGCTGTGCAACCGTGCCGTTTGCGTACACTATGTCATGTTTGGGCTTTGAATGTAGAGAAGGGAGATAATCTTGTAGGATATTAAACTCTTTATTCTGTAGGAATTTGAGGAGACCATAATCTGTCATAATGTCTATCAGGCATATTTTTTTTCTTCTTCTAGAGGCCTAGTTGGGTGTCTCTTGGGTTGCTGCATTATATTATTGAACTTCTTCCATTAATTTTGTTGACATTGACAATCTTTTGAAGTGCCCTTGAAGATTATCGCTTAGGTTTCTTCCTCATACAAGATTCGTCTAAAGTATTCCGTGCTAAAGTAGGTGTATAGTGTAAGATGGGAACTCAAATTCTAAAGTTAAATGTGCACAGGGAAATTAGTAGCACCACTGGTTTTGTGTATGCGTTGTATTACGTTGAAGTCTGATGATTTTAATTGAAATGGGTCATTTAATTTTTCCTAATTTCAAGGATTTTCATGAACTTGTGTTTTCTTGCTGCATTTGACACGGTTGGTTCTTTGTTTCTTTGTATAGGTAGCTTACTCAAGTCCAATTCCTTCGGCACTATTAGTTCCAAGCCAAAAGTGAAGCTTGTTGATGAAGTATCACAAAAGCACAAGACATGCAGAGAGAGTTCCTTGCCAGATAGTAAGGATGGATCTGGCAGAATGATAAGCAAATCTATGTCATTCAAACATACAGGTTCTGGCCGTACGGAGTCCAAAGTGAAAATGCTCTCATCAAAAACTGCACATGGTCAAGATGTTAAAGGGTTAAGACAAGCACGAGATCATAATGCATTTGAAAGAAGACATTTGCCTAAGTTGGACCGCCCTTCCGGTGCTATGGTGGCGTCAAGTTCGAAAGTCACCACACCAAAGCTTGAGCAAAAGCTTACTCCTCGTAGTGACAGTCTTCCATTATCATCAGCAGCCAACAGTAGAGAGTTTAAGGGTGCTACAACTGATGGAAAATTCAGTAGCTTACCTAGATCAAGTGCTGGCATTGCCCGGAAAGGTGGAGATGCTCCTGTTACATCTGGTATTATTCCACTGTCTCATCATAGAATCAGCTTCTTTCAAAATCTATTCTCTCACAATCTTGGTTTGTTAAGTTTTTATTCTTAAAGATGTTGATTTATTTAAGGTTGTTAAACTGATGCAGTTCGGGCCTCTTCTGTTCATGGAATTTCCATTGAAAGGAAGTTAAATCAAGTTAGCCCTAAGGATGAACCCTCACCAAGTACTTCTTGGAGTGCGGAGAAATCTTTGAATGCTGTTGATGACAATTCACATGATGGCCTGCTTCGCTCACGGGAATCATCAAGCCATAGTGAGAAAACTAGAGATAGCTCTGGTCGCATGAGACCTGCTGCTGCAACACCAAAAGAGACAGGTACTTGTCAAAAGTGTAAGGAAGCTGGTCATTCTGTGGAAAATTGCACATCCAGTAGTCCTCGTGCTCCTGTCAGTGATACACCAGCTACAAAAAGTATTGGTGATGAGACTAATAGAGACAGTAAATTAAAAGCAGCAATTGAGGCTGCTATGCTTAAAAGGCCTGGAATATATAGAAAGAAGCATGAAAGTGATCAATCTGACGGATTGTCCTCATCAAATGTGGATATGAACTATCATATGGGTCCTAAGGCAAAATTTTCAGGGTCAAATAAGACAAAACTAGCCACCTTAGATGAACGATCGCATGAAGAGAAACCCACTCTTGGGCCTTGGTCCATGGACTTCACAAAGCAAGCTAATTATGGAAGTGCCAGGCTATCTAATACACTCTCTGTTAGTGTTGCTTTCCCTAGAGTGGATTCAGATTTGGCCAACTCTTCCACTGGGAGATCCGGTCTTATTTCATCTGCCAGCGCACTTGAGAAGTTGTCGCCAATCCCAGAGCATGACTTTATTTGGCAGTAAGTTCACTACTTAATGCATATTGATGTTCATTGCTTCTTTTTCTTGTCAAAGAAGTGGTCTAGATATGGTTACAATACTTTCATGCAGGGGTACCTTTGAGGTACACAGGGGCGAAAAAATCAGCAATATTCATGGAGGCTATCAAGCGCATTTGTCAACCTGTGCATCACCCAAAGTTCTCGAAGTAGTGAACAAGTTTCCTCAGAATATTAGCTTAGACGAAGTATCCCGCTCAAGCATGTGGCCGAGACAGTTCCATGAAAATGGCGCTACTGAAAATAACATTGCTCTGTACTTTTTTGCAAAGGACCTCGATAGGTAAATATCTGAATCATAAAATATGTTCGTATAGAGGTCCATGTATTGGAGATGTGCTACTCTGTCATATCTCGGTGTTGTTTATATATTTCCTTTTCAATACAGTTACAAGCACTACAAGGGATTATTGGATAATGCTATTAAAAGAGATTTGGCTTTCAAAGGATACTTTGATGGTGTTGAACTCTTGATATTCCCATCTACTCAGCTACCTGAGGATTCTCAGCGTAAGAATTACTTCCTCGTACTCCAGCATTCTTGCCACAACCACCACTTCATAAGCTTGAACGATGGTTTGATATTGGCTTGTTTTAAAGTTTGCTGTGATATTCTCTGTTGCTGTGAATTTTGCCCCCAAATCATTGGTGATTATCAATAAACAATAAAGATCGTCATCTATAATTAACCAGCCTCCTGTAACACTCTCGTATAGTGCTCCCTGTTTCCGTTAACCTAATCTTCAGTTTCTCATTGGTTTGTATTCTTGCTTCTCTGTTTCTTAGCTCACGCCTCATCTCTGTTCTTATATTAAACTTCCCTATCTTTTTTTGAATTTGTTTTATTTTATGAATTTACCTTATAGTCATTGTTACTGTGACTTCTTTAGCATGTACTCCTGGTGCCGTGTCAATGGCCAGATAACTTGTGAAATCCAGAGTATGTTCGATGTTAAGTGCGATTTAAAAATGCTTAGCCTTGTGGAAATTCACAACTGGACCTACTTCATGGATACCACAAGGTTATGGGCTCAGTAAAGGCCATTCTCATGTAAATAAGGTTCTAGTAGTTAGTTGCATGCAAATAATGAACGTGAACTGAGCAGCTACTTGGTGGTTTTTCCCTCTTGGGTCATATATATTTTGCTGTTAATTTTGGTGCCAAGTACATAACGTTTTTCTAATTGAATTAGGAACACTTTTTCCCCCTTCTTCTTGCCATTAGTTGTGCCTCCATATGTTTTAGTTGTGTAAGTCATGGGTAGGACCATGGCTAAGTTCTGTTCATATCCTGGTCGAGGAAGAATGCTGAGGTCATGTTATCATTGACAGGTTGGAACATGATGTTTTTCCTGTGGGGCGTGTTCAAGGGAAGGAGATCAAGTTCTTATGATTGCATAAGAAAGCCAGTTGTCCCCAGTCTGAATTTGGTAGCTGAAGGTGAAGATAATGGGACTTCTGCATCAGATGATTGCTGCAGTATGGATGTTTCATCAAGTGATTTGAACAAGAATACATGCTTGTCGGAAAATGGGGTCATAAAGGAGGGAAAAGCTGACTTTGCTGTTAAGTCAGAGCAGCTGGATTGTAGATTTGATTTAAATAACACGACATGCAGTGTGTCCTCAAATCAAGAATCTGCCAACGCCAGTGCTACCCTGGTAACCTTTTTTTTTACTTACCTACTATACCAGTTGAGCATCTTTCAATCTTGCAATGTGAAGTAGCAATTCCAAAATGGGGTTGCCTGTCACACACCTATATTTTAGGGGTATTCTATACATTTCCCTAATTAATTGTCATTTTGATAGTTTGATCCTAAAATAACAATGTCAATCTTAATTATATTATGATTTATGATAAACAAATAAATGCATGGATTTGCGCCAAAATCATTTATGATTTACTTGTATAAGTCATTCAAATATTTACATAATTCTTGTTAGTTACCCCTCAATAATTTCACCTAATGCCCACTTTATAGATAAATTGATGTGCGAAAATGAACAAATCGATTATACTTTTAGTTAATTTGTTTTTGTCAGAGTTCAGACTAATTCTAGAGATTAACATTTAGGTTGTGATGAATAAAATCTATTTCTAAACTAGGGCAGACATGGTATGCACTCATTTATCCGAGTCTATCGCAGTCTACACCTATGAAATAAAGTTTTCATGTAAGAAAACTTCATTTCATGCCTATCTGAATCTTGTGTTTCCAAGAACAGATAAACTTTTCTCCCACTTGTTGTCTTTCTAGATCTGGGCAGCGTGTTGCCTGGTGTTAATAATATGGACCTGTTTTTGTTTTAAATGTCGATCTTATTTGCAGGTAGATATTGGTGATTTAGAGTGCAGAGTGGATATGGAGGAAAAACCATCTGTTCTGGTTTCCGAGTCCAAGAGTGGTTCCAAGCAGGAGGCACAGAAGCATTCAGACGCTTCAGATGTCCAAGATGATGTGTCTGCACTCAAGAATGTTACTGTTGAAAATCGAAATTTAGGTGTGAGGGGCAACATGCTTCAAGAGCCTGCAGTTGGCAGAACAGACGGTGCCAGTAGGGCTGGAGTTACTGTTATCAGAGACTTGAATGAAGACATTACAGATATGGACATAGAAACTTCAGAGGAGGGAGACTTCTTGTCTAATATTAGAAAAAGGCCGCTCTTGGATCTTTCTGAGATGCCGCCTCCAGAGAGTCCTGGTAGCACAGTTGGTAAAGGCATGCCATGGAATGTGGTTCACACTGTGTTGGTAGACCGAGAAGGTGCTGCTAAGAAGCCAAAATTGAGTGATGAAGGACTTGATGGGTATGACAATTCAAGAGACTGCAATTCTAGGAGAGATGATGAGACGTCGAAAGCTACTGCTGAAAGGTACTTCTTTCCTGTGGATTCACATTCCATTCTCTGGAAGGGAGGGTCGTCAGCATCAAGACGCGAGGGCCAATCTTCTTCGCCGAATCTTGAGCTTGCTTTAGGGGGTGAGACAAAACTACCCCCAACTAAGGGAATTCTGCCTTTCATTGTCGGAATGGTGGACAAGAATACTACTGACAAGAACAAGCTACTGCCACCGCCACCAGCAGCAGCAGTTGAGAAAGTGATGGCGGACAAAGAGCAGGAGGACGGTGTGTCTGCTTCCCTTTCTCTTTCTCTTTCATTTCCGTTCCAGGACAAGGAACAAACTGTAAAACCTCCTGTTGTCCAAAAAACCGAGCAGCTTCTGCCTGAAAGGGCACCGTGTGAATACCTGGCTGCTCCTTTTTGGACGCTTCGCTGATAAATAGGACATGCCTGTTGGGGAAGGTAGTCACAGTAGTTGCATGTATGATATGAAATTTGCTCCCTCTAGTAAAAGTAGACATGAAAGAAACGGAAGAAAAACATAGCTTGATCATGTGTACTACTATGATCTTCCTCCTCACTCGCCTTTAGTTTCCATGTGGATTTTCCTATCTGTTTATATAACCCACACAGGAATTACTAATAAGTGTTCTTTCCCACACTTTTTGGTTTTGTTCTTTTGGAGTGCATGGTTACGACTTACGAGAGTTCTGTATATAAATGAGAATCCAAGTCCTGTTTTGCAGACTGATATTTTGATGGTTATAGCTTCTAGTTGGTTTACTGCTATTATATTTTCATTTGGCATAGTATTATATGGTGGAACTGTCTGCGTGTTGCCAGGGAAAAAATGGTGTTAAACAGATGGTGTGATGATGATCATACTTTGGTACTGACAGAGGCCGGACGATGTGCTGAAACTGCTTTGCTTTTGTGATCATCTCTCTCTATCTTGAGCTTGGAACAACATAATGTAGAGTGAATTGAGAGGTTCAGCTGTGTTCTGGTATGGATGGTGGTAGTAGGTCATGTACGTGATGTTTCTGAGCCATACTATAATTATATATGTAGTTCTTTTTCCATTGTCCATGCTGGTGCTGTAAACGTTATAGTTATGCTACTAAGCTGTCAGCAGTTTTGCTCTGGAGCTCAAGCCAGCTTAATAGTGAGTTTTCATTAGCGACATGCCTGTTTAGCTATTTGTACCATCATTAGATGAATAGCTACAAGACGAGCTATACGAGGAGCTTACATAAATTGACTAACAATTTGAGACATAGGCAATATCATATGATTAGAAGCCATATAAATTAAGCTGCCAACCACACTACGATAATGTTTACCACCATCGGATAACATATGACATGTGAGCTGAACCTCCAAACTCATATAGTAAGACAAAGAGCCGAGTTTGTTAAGGTGAAAAGTTTCATAAAGCCCCTTAGTCAAAGAATACCCTCAGTATCATTACTTGAGACAATCATATTGACTTGCTTTTATAATTAGTGGCGAAGTGTAACCACAAATTAAGGAGTAATATAGTGGAATGAAGTTCTAGTGTCAATCCAGGCCCTAGATCTACTATTACTCAACAAAGACTATTATTTAGCAGAATAGTTGTAGTGAAGGTTAGTGAAACTAAGGGAACAAAGCTAAGAAATTATTACATTTCATATGCAAAAGATCACACAGGTATGTGTCCCACAAGTCCGGAGTTAGGTCAAAGTTGTAAATCCCTTTTGGTTTCGTTCATTGATAATTATACAACAGAAAGTCCGGCATTAGCCTAGAATCTCAACTAAAGTAGACCAAGCCCTCTTAAATAAAATAGTTGGAGGGAGATTATCTTCAACCGAACTAATATGCCAAGACAATGCAATTCGACTTCCTCTACTGGAATGGATTCCTATACAGAGCAGTGAATGGAGTCACTATTCGCATAATAGATTCACTATCTTCAATCGAGGGTGCTCTCTTAACCCAACTTGATTTGATCTCTCCTAGTAGGGATGGCAACAAAACCCGAACCCACGGGTACCCACCCGACCCAACCCGGTCAACGTGGGTAAAACCCGTGTTGACGGGTTTTGGGCCGGGTTCGGGCTTAAACCCGCTACACTATTCACCGGGTCGGGTTGAGTTTGGGTTTAGGTAAACCCGTCCCATGGGTACCCGCCCACACACATATAATTACTTTCCCGGTATATTTAATATTCTAAATAATATATATTCCTTAAATAACTAATATTCTATATGTTTGTGGAGACATGTATAATTTGTTCTTTCTAATTGTTTAGAATGAAGTTGGTATTATGAAGTGGAGAGTGAAGAAACTTAGTTAACGAGGAAGAAGCTTTCAATTAATATTATTGTTTATATATGTTTATCTTTAATTTTGAACAATTTGTATTGATCATTTGCGATTTGCTTGTATGCTCTAGATTGGTGCTTTTTGTATGATTAATTTGTATGAGAAAATTGATGTTAAACTTTTATTTTGAAAGAAACTTGTTATTGTAAATTTTTACCACAAAAACCCACGGGTACCCATGAACCCGCGGATACCCAGCGGGTTGGGTTGGGTTTGAGTTTTTCAAACCCAACGGGTTTTACCCCGGGTTTTTTGGCGAATAAACCCATGGGTTTGGGTTTGGGTTTGACAAAACCCGCCCCAACCCGACCCATTGCCATCCCTATCTCCTAGGTTAAAGCAAGAATCAAAAGAATGTGATCAAGACTTAATCAATTATGAATACATGCCTAAATCGAAAGGTTCATACAATTATTCTCCTAACACTTGGACTAGGATTTTTCATACTCAAGTGAGAGAGGATATTACTCCATAGAGAGAGAGGAAAACCATATCCAAAGTAGTCATACTAATAAAGATGTATATGATATGCTCCGGGGCGTCGATCTGCTCTTCGAGGGGCAAAATTCGAGCTCTCGACTGGTGAAATCTAGGCTCAAATCAGCTACAAGGTGAGGTTCTTCGTCGCTTTCTCTCTTTAGAACTTTGTTTTTGCTGTCAAAAGTCGGATCCCCTCTTAAAATCTCAAAATTGGCTTTAAAACCCGCAGCTGGGTGGAAGACAAGCATGAAACACAATCGTGTTTCTACTCGTGTCCGTGTTCTTTCAATGTGTCGTTTCACTTAAGTGTCTTGACAGATAGAACACGACCACCCTTTATGAGGGATACAACCATGTTTCTCGTTCTCTTGGTCGTGTTTACTCTCGAAAGTCATTACACGACCTCAATTATTTGTAGGAACTCGGCTGCATTTTTGGGATGCCAAAGCCGTTTTCCGGATTTTCCAAGTTTCTTCTCGACACATGAATCATGGCCTCAAGATGACAAAACATGACTGTGTTCCTCTCCTTGCTTAGCCCGTATTTCTTCTTGGCACATAAAAAACATGGCCTCAAGATGACAGAACACAACTCGCATTTTCTATCTTTTTGACACAGGTTAGAACACGATCGTGTTCTTGGACGTTTCCCCTCTACCTTGCTCCATTCATCACCATCTTGCCTCCATTCATCCCGAAACTCGCTCCTATGCCCCCTATCACTTGTTAGGACCTGAAATATGACAAAGGAACACAACCTAGCGTAAAATAAGCTAAGGTCCCATTAATCAAAGCCAAAACGATTAAGAAACGGGGGTTAAAACATGTGTAATTATGGTGTTATCAAATTCCCTCACACTTAACTATTGATTGTCCCCAATCAAACCAAGTAGGACACAAGGTAATCTTAAAACATCTTTCTCAAAAAACTTGGCGACATGTCATATAGGCACACAAATTTGATGCTAAAGAAGTGCATACTCATACAGTCATACTCTCAGACCTATAATCTCGTCACCATAATGGCAGCCTCTGAATGCTATAGTTCCCAGAATAGCTGTCACCACCAACTTGTCTAAAGGACTTGACTGGGTTGTAACCAGCTATGGTCTAGGGCCTCGGGAACATGATATTTAGGTGGTGGAAACACAGCACAAGGTTCCACAATTTCAAACTAAAACCACTCACAAAAATATAAAAATCTTTCTCTGCGACTGCTACTTCTAAGACTTTGAAGCACAAGAATGAAGGGGATTACCAACATTCATTTGAGCATAATAAACATTGGTGGCAGCTCTCATTCATCTTATTTTATTTTAGTTCTTTTTTTTTCTCATTTTCTTCGAGAGCCAACACCACATGCCACATTTTTTCTTAACTTTAAGAACAGATGCTCAATTTCAAGAACTTTCCCAAACTCACTTTCATTTCAGCATAAACCATGCAAGAATTACTTTGTGGAACCTCTAGTAAGCTTAAGTCATGGGAGCTTCAAGACACAAGGGTAACTCTTCATCAGTGTAGGCACAAAGAAAGAAAGAAAGAAAGAAAGAAAGAAAGAAAGAAAGAAAGACACACGGCTCAAGAGGGTTGACTAAGGGGTATGACACACCAGGACAATCAATTTGGTTGTGGACTAATCCTATGCCTCCATCTTCCTCATTTGTGGCAACATGAATGCTACATATCATAATAAGAGGGTTCTATCACACAAGAAGAAACGAACAGACACAAATCTCGCATGACTACCTATATGCTATGTCCCTCATTCTGATTCCTTAAGCTCGATGCATAGACAACTATAGGAAGTGAGTAATCAATCCAAGTCACAAGTTGGTTTGCAAACAGGTGAAAACTTAACCCCTACACAATTCTCCTACATATCTCAGTCATCATAATAAGCTGTTCTCAATCACAAAGGTGTTGTTCACACATCGACGCTCATAGCCAAGGGACTCAACATAAAACAACACATGTGCTAATATGATCATGCAAATTGAGAATATCTTGCTTAGAGCCATGCAATTTAAATTTTGGATAGTGGACTAGGCTCCAAACACATACACAAGCCAAACATTCAGCGGAATAAACACTCACACACTTAAGTTCGACATTTCTCTCAATGGAGCAAAGGGTGAAAAGGGGAACGATGTTACCGGTGAACGATGAATGTTGGTGGTGATTGGAAAAGGGACCATTCAGGAATATTGGAGTGGAGAAAGGACCAGCCGACATCGATGGAGCTAAAAACAACAGAAACACACAATTGATAAAGGGTAAGTCCAAACCGTAGGTCCAAGTTCAAAAGAAAAGACAAAGAAAATAATTAGTCTATGTCTCAAAAGTAAAACAAAACAAAAAAACAAAGTCACATATGTGGCAGGATCAGTCGGTTTCAGGGAAGCCACTCTTGCCAGTGGTAACATCAAGGTCAATGTCATCTAGATTCACGTACGAGGAAGGGGAACAAGCCAAGGGTTGGTAACCTGATTAGGAGAGCCAACTTCAAGCGTGATCAAGTAGTCCTAGTTTGCCATGATGGAGCACCGGCCATCCCGCTTGCGATCGTGAGGTGAAGATATTGATACTGTCAGTCTAGGATACGAGTCTGGCTTGCAAGATTTGCTCATTGTGTTGCGCCAAGGCCACCAACTGGTTGCCAAACTAACTAGAGGAGGGTCCAACAGATGGGCGTGCGCTGGTGCTGCCTCTCTCTTGGGTATGATGATCATTGATTTTATTGACTACCAATTTTTTTTGGCCTAAGGGCAGGATCGTATTCCCTTTGGCCTCTCGCAGAACCCTTACTTCAGAAGCGAGGTATGGTTCTATTGAAAAACAGGTCGATTTAGGTGGTTGAGGTTCCTTTGGTTTCACAGAACCTAAGAGTTTGAAAGGTAAAACAATGCAGAAAAGTACATCTACGTTACTAGAGAAGTGAGAGAGCAGAGAAGGAAACCATTGCATAGGCAATGTTCCTACTAGGTCTCGTAACAATGCACCCTCGATGATCGGAGCATACAAGTTGTCGATTTCTTATTTAGTAAGATCCCAACTTATGTCGAAGCATTTACCCAAACTAATGGGCTACAAGGACCCTTTGAATTTCTCCCTTGAGGCGTCACGCCATTTGATCGAATGAGGTTTGATCGAGTAGGACTGATATTTCTAGACCCATCCTAAATGATTAGTATTTCAATCTCTGCTTCTCGAAAAATTGCAAGATCGAATAAGCAATCATTGAATCAACATATAATGAAATGGCATAAATAAAGCAACACACATATGAAAATCAAACAATCATATTAATCAAATCACCGAGTTTACATGATTAGAACCTTACATACCTAGTAAACTAAGAAACTTAGCCAACCATGGGAGGAATTCCTTGATATTCATAATTGGAAATGAAGACACCAGGAGGCCACAAGAATTGACGGTTGGAATAGAGAAAACAGGGCCTAGGGCGCCATTTTTGAGGTAGATTCTCTCGCTTAGGGTGGACTCGTTCTAAGTCAGGAGGGTTGCAATGTCTGCAGAGTAACGACCCTTCATTGACTCCTCGCCTCCTCCTCTCAAACTCTACATCTAGAATCCTATTTATAGATCTTCTATTAGGATTTCTAAGGAGGAAAGCTTGCCCCTTCTGCGTCATTCGGCCAATCAGAGGGCTCCAAACTAGTGGCCAGCGAATCAAGATGTTCCGAGATAACTTGTGGTCGCCTTTTTCCTTTACTAAAATGGCTTTCCGGGCTCCATTTTACCTTGATGTCCGGTCTTTAAATCCTGGCTCCAACAACTTGTGGTCGATGTCCCCTACGGCTTCCAAGTGGCCCCCTAGGATGCTTTGCCTTGAAAAAGAAACAAAATGCTACCAAAAGCGCATCAATCATATAAAAGCAATCCTAGGGTTGCTAAATCACGCTTGAAGCAATCAAAACAGTAATTTAATATATTATGATAATACTGATGGAAAATGTATGCACTTTCGGTCAACATACGGTGGTCTAAAATAGATACTTTCACGTGTCATCAAATAAACTCACACTTGAACTTTGCTTGTCCCCAAGAAAACCTAGGCTCACCATCCTTCTCCTCACTAGCTTTTCACGATGACACGTGACTTCCAACCTTAGGTTGTGGATCATAAGAAGCTTACAAGGTCAAACCTTGCACTTAGTGTTTCACTATGGAAACGTTCACAATGTTGTTTGATCGGATGCACCACTGAATTTTGAAATCAAGACGACCGTCACTCGGTTCTCACCTCTCTTAACAATGTTCGAATGAGGGAGTTTGAGTTTTTGGGAATCTATGTCCACAACTAATCCTATGGAGATTCCTGTGATAGCTCCACGACTAAGCTACGACTACGACTATGGAGATCCTTTCTAGAAGGAGAGCTCCGTTTAGATTTAAAGAGAAAAAGGAAAATTTGGAACATAGTTGTTTTTTATGTTGGTTGTCCTGTCTCTCCTGATCTCCGGTGATTTTTATCTAAAATGACTTCATGTAACTTCTCCGTAGAACTGTCTTCACAATTACTTTGTCATTTCCAAACCACCTTGCACCTGCCTCCCACATGCTCCATCCTTCTCCACGAAGACGTAGTCTTCAACTGCTTTGCAAATCGTTCTTCAATCTTCCTTATGTGAAAATCACGTGCAGGAAACAACATGCTTCTCCGTGGAGCTTCATTAAAACAACTTTGTTATTTTCCCCACAACTTTGACGACGTTTAACCTCACGACATTGCTCAGCTCGCAACGCTGCCAACGTCGTGGGAGAGTTGAACTCTCTATACCATCGATTGTATAACATTGTTCAACTCGCAACCAATGTGGTTAAACTGTTCACCACCGCGACGTTGCTATTGAGTAAACAATGTCGCTTTTTGGTATCGCAACACTTTTGAAGTCAACAACCTCATTGCACTTGCAATATATGGCCCGCAACAATGTTTACATCCACGGCGTCGATGTCACTGACCCTGCAACTTCATTGAACTTTTCAACCTCATTCAACTCGTTACATCGTTGAGCTCACAACGCCGCTTAATTCGCGGTATTCTCAAACTTATAACACTAAAAAAAATTATGCGTTGATATTATTTTCATTACTTATAAATATTGGATCAAATTTATTCTTTCTTGCCAATTTGTTATTAATAAGGTAAATCATGAATAATAGGGTGCGCCTATAGTGCCTTGCATGTCACCATAACTTGCACTTTTCGGTCGACCTCAGTTAGGATTAGGTCGACCTAATCTATTGTTTCAGTGTAAAAAGAGTTTCATGGTGCCTACTTTGGAGATTCATATCTTACAATTGGCTTGATGGAAATTGGAGATTAATAGCTTGTTTTGAAGCTGGAGTGTCCCTCTACACATTGAAGTTTTCATTTGGGGAAACCAAATAGAAGGAAAAATGTGCTATTGTGTAGGAGTGTACATGGTCGGGTGGTTCGGGTTTAGACATTTTAATCACCTGACCCATGTACACCGATTAGTGAATATTAAACTCAAACTCATCCAAAAAATTAAAATCCTACGTTTGTTTCTAATTGGGTCGGGTTGACACAAAATATGTACTTATTCTACACCATAAAAATATTTATAAATAATTAAAAATTCAAATGAATAAACTGAGGTGAAAGGTATCAAAATTCACAAATGTTGTTTGGATTTTAATAAAATTTTATTTACTTCAACTTACGTCTAGTTTTTTTCACGACATTTATTGAAATAGGCTAAAAAGGTTATAAATGAACGCATCCATAATATGTTACTAGCTCTGTGCCCAGCCCTTGGCCGGGTCAATTTGCTCAAATATAATGCATTGCGTGTGTGTGTGTGGGGGGGGGGGGGGGTGTCATGTAAGCATTCTATTGCAACTCTTTGAGTCAGATACTCAGGTCAACCTACATATGAGGACTAAAGTACTTTTCACGACTTGGAACTTGGTGCTTCCATTGTTAGCTTGTGTTGTAGCTTGAGTTGTACCATTGCATTGTTGTCTAGAATGCAAGTTATAGTTTCTTTTTCACAGTCGTTAGCAATGGTGATGTAGCAATAGCTTCACTCGATGTAGATCTGGTTGCGGAGCTGTTCATGTTGATTGTATCTTCAATCTCTGTTTCATTGCCTTGTGAAAATATGGCATTTGTCATCAAAGTTCTGAAAAATATGTGGATGCATTGTATGTTTTGTACCCATGCTAGCTTATAAACCAAGAAATGATCTCCTCATGGGTGCGAAATCTAATTGCATAATTTGCATTTAAGTGATCAAAGACTATAACCCGTAGAAAACAAATAGTAAACACAATGTGGGTAATGTGGTTGAAGGAATTCAACAAATAAACACCAAAAGCAATTAATTTGGATGACTCTATATATCAAAGTACAGTGATGAATTTGATCATAAAGCTTTCAAAACGTTCGCATGATTTAACAATGTATCACAATTATACATCAACCATCAAGAAAATCATTTAAAGAACTATCAATTAGTACTGGTGCTTGCCTTGCTTGGGAGTTTGATGAGGACATTACAGTACTGCTTGAACTGCCGACTCCTATCACTTTTCCACTCTTCCAACTCTTCGGGATTCATCGCCATCGATTTTTACTCATAACTTCGAATTCGTTACATTAGGGCAACTATAGTTCAACAGTGTATTGGTTTCAAATCATAACCAAAGAGACGATATATGGGAATTACTTGAGATTGAAGTGACAAATTACCTGATATAAAAATTTAGGCAGGGAAGAAGAACCTCCGCTTTGGGCATATGAAAGGCTGCTTCTAAGACACGGGTCGCGAACTCCAAACTTAAGTAGTAATTTAGATTTATAGGCAGGATGCAATGGTTCCTTCGCCACAAAATTGAAAAAAAGTAAAGAAGAAACAGGGATGAGCATATTAAGAAATCAACCGAAGAGGAAGATTCGGATAAAAAATGAACTTAATTTCTTCATAATCCGCCCTCTTAATAAGTTTCAATTAGGGATGGCAATTTTGCCCATACCCATGGGTTTCTTACTCTCCAACCCAATTGGGTTGGGTATGAAATCCAAATAGATGGATATGGGTAGAATTTGATGGGTTTGTACCCATACCCATTTACTTTGGGTTGGGTTGGATTGGGTTTATAACAAATGGATTGGGGTTTGTACCCATGCCCAAATACAAACTACAGTTTAGTACCTAAACTTAATAGATATGCAAATTTAGTATCTCAATTTAATTTTTTTGCATATAAGTCCTCAAAATATCGTTGGAAAATTACATTTTGGTACCTAAATTTTTTTTGTCTTACATTTTGGTACCTAAAATTTTCAGGTTTTACAAATAGGTCCAATTTTTGCATGTGTAGTTAAAACACCCTCAAGCGTATAAAAAAAGAAGAAGAGGGAAAAGCACAGGTGCTATTCCATTCCAGCGTATAAAAAAAACAAAAAAGGAAACGTAAACATATCCCCGAAAATTGTCGAGGGATTCGGTTTCCAAACCTCTTCAAAAAAAAAAACATGTGGCAGACTGCTATTAGATAAAGGGGTCGCTGACGTGAAAGCATGTGGTGAACGGAAATTTGAATTGGAGAGGTTGTTTACGGGAAAACACTTATACCCTATGTTTGGCCCGACTTTTAGAAGTGCTTTTCGGGTTCAAAAGCTGAAGCAGGGCCAAACACCTGTAAAAGCTCGGTTTTTGAAAAGTCGAAAAGCGCTTTCGTATAACATAAAAGCAGAATCGGAGCTTCTGCGAAAAGCTGTTTTGAAAATACAAGATTATCCTTACCATATTTTAATTTTATTTCAGAAAATATAATTTTCCTTCATTTATATCATTTTAAAAATAAAATAAATTATAAAATCATATTATTTAATATAAAAGAAATCTAACAAGATCCATTTTGACTACTTTTTATTGTTTAGAATTTTTATTCATAATTTATATTATGAGTCCTTTATAGTCATTTTACACAACCTCTTATGTTAAAAAGCATTTCTAATAGTTTTACATCCAAACACTCAACAGTTTTTTTTTAAGTACTTATCTAAAAACTCGAGCCAGAAGCTGCTTCTGTAAAAGTTACCGCAGGACCAAACTAAGCTATAATATTCTTTAGATTCTATTAAAATTATACAAGAAGATTCTATTTTCTAAAATGTTTGGATTAATAGGTAAAAATAAAATTACCTTTTTCTTACAAGAGTCCGATTCCCATAGAAGATAGGACTTACTTGAGAGATTGGGCCACTGTATTTACTCCTTTCCTTTCCGTCGGATTATTTATTGCTCTCCTTCCCCTCCTTACACTGAACCGAAGAATCCAGGCTTCTTCGTCCGTCGGATTATTTATGGCCGGTTGGGTTATCTTCTTTCCATCCCGTTTGCCGCCATGCTTCGTTTTCCCCCATCCCCGCCCAGGTCAAACCGGCGTCGTCGAATGCGATCGGATGAAACCCTAATCAGCAAACTCGGAGACGATCATCTCTCAGCCCCTCCGGTGGGTTACTGTCTTCGCTCTCGCCGCCTCAGTTGTTTCAAAGCTTGCTCACCGGCGACCGAGTTCCGCAGCTTCCCAGTTCTGGACATATTTCGTCGTGTCCCGTCGGCCCCCAGGACAAAACGACGACGGCTTCGTTGCGGAATCAAGTTGAAAGGAAGTCCGATCAGCAAACTGGAAGACGATGATCTCCTTCTGGAAATTCTGATTCGCCTCCCGGACCCTATAACCGCCTGGCGTTGCAAACCCGTCTGCAAACATTGGAACTCACTCGTTTCCACCCGCTACTTCAAGCGCCGTTTCGTTTCTCACCACCAGAGCAAGGTCAGGAACGCACAAGAACTGCCATTGGACCTATCATCCATTTTGAGCTCCATCCCTCTGCCTGATGAAATTAGGCCGTTTTGCAGGATTTTAGATTGCTTCAAGGATTTGGTGTTGTGCGGGTGGCTGTGGGAGGAGAAGTACATTAATGACGAGCTTGTCAGATTATACTTGGTCTGCAATTGGTTTACCAAGCAATGGATCGCCCTTCCTTTGGCTCCTGAAATGAGAGATCTTCGTGTGGGAATGGTTGCAAGGTTAGTTTGTGAGCCCTTCAGTAAGAATTCCGATGATAATAACCTTGACACAGGAGATGGCCAAGTATTTGGTCTTTCTTCAGTGTATCGGTTCCGAGTGGTGAGTATCTATGAAGTTACTAAAAATGCTACAGTACTGGACGTTTTTTGTTCAGAGTCTGGGAAGTGGGTGAAGGAGGCTGTTGTTCTTCATGGCTATCACAAGTTTATGCTACAAAATGTAATTTCCTGGGATGGAAAAATGTGGTGGTCGTATTATACACGAGAACTTGAGGCTGGTTTCTTCGAGTTTAATCCTTTCCGCCTAGATATACCACCCACTAAGATTGATATTTCTGGTGGTTTTGCTATGTCGAGAAGTTCTAATATTGCTGTCTCAAAAGGAGCTTTGTATCTAGCTAGTTGCAATTCTGTACGTAATGTTTTGATGGTTTGGAGACTGGAAGAAGATGATGGGAAAAGATCATGGGTGATTGTGTATCAAGTATCCTTAAACAACATATCAAAGTTGAAGGACATGCAGGTGTCAATGTCTCGTGCATGTGACCTGCATCCCGAGAACCCAGAAATCGTCTACTTAGAGTTATATACTGGGGGTCCATGTATGTTACGTTCTTCGAATTCACTTGGTGTCGTCTCCTTCAATGTAAGAAATGGAGAACTAGAGTTGGTTGAACGAAGACAATGTGAGCATAAACCTCATTATATTGTGTTTCATATCCAGCCTAGACTCTTTTGCTGGCCTACACCCATTCCATCATACGAGAAATTGAAAGGTGTGTATGATGGAAGCTACAATTGTTTGGTCCAGAGCAGCAAGGCAGCCACAACTCCAGTCCCTCAAGAATTGGTAATTGCTTCTGCTTGAAATGATTTAGCTTTGTTTCCCTGACTCTTCTCTTCCATAGCATCTCTGCTAGGTTTAGGAAATGCATTTGATGAAACTGATTCCGAGAGGAACTCTTCCTTATTTTCATAACGGGCTTGTCTCATTGAATGTCTGATTGCTGATTGTTGTGCTAAGAAACTCTGCAGATTCTCTATCTACTTTCTCATGCAGCATATTAAGTATGCAGATATACATGTCTCATCCTGTTTCCAATTGCTTGGGATTTTTTATTTGATTTGAATGAAGCTCGCCATGTTAAAAGATGGACAGACACACCCACCTCAAAAAAAATTATGTCGTCTGCTTGCTACTAAACTTCATCTCCCATCTCATTATGCTGTTGCTTCACGTCATGCATGATTTATTTGGCTTAAGCTTATGCCGAATCAAGTTAATTTCCAGTTCTCAAGTATGCGTAGCACGATCATTGTTCATGAATACTTATGGTTTACGCAAGTCCAATACCTTTTAAGCAACTACGATTTTATAAGTTAAGCATTTTATGAGCTTGGATCTCCCACTGTGCGGATGATCCTCATGTCAAGCAAGAACAAGTCACGGTATGTTAAGCAAGATCATGTTTTTAACCTCACTTAATTAGTTACGCAAGCGGCCACCTCACTTCCCGGAGTAAGGAAGCATCATGTTATGTTACCTCACTCTTTCAGATAAGGAGTCCATGTTCAAGTTCATGTATCAGGTACCGGTTGGTCGCCTAACTAGCATGAAGTTACCTCACCTCCCATAGTGATGGAGGTCCATCTTTATCATGTTTTGACGTCCTAACTTAGGACTGGCCCTACGATGACAATTAGAAATTGTAGGGTCACCGAAAGCACATAAGGGAGACGACCAAGTCAAAACAAAGTTCAAGGCTCTAACGGACTCTAGTACGAAGAATTGAATTCGTATTTACTTAGTAGGAACGAGACTTGTGATGGGCCACCATGTCATGATGGGCCTCCACGTCATTCGACCCAGGTACCACAGCCCAACTCCCGCTACCGCGATTACGAGTAAACAGGAACCATTGAGCTTGCCGAGGGTAGGAGTAGTGTTTGTTATGGAACGAGTCAAGAGGGTATCTGCAATTGGTTGTTTTGGTTGTTCCAAATAAATATCATCTCCACCTTAAGTGGAGGAGGGTTAGGTAGATGTGGGAAAGTAGTTCCTGCTTATTAGGATTTCTTTGTTTCAAACATTGGTTATTTAAGTTCTCCATGAATGAATAAACGGCAAGCATTATTGAGTCAATAGACACACTGGTAGTTCTAGCCAAGAAAGTAGAGCACTGGCCTCTTCCTGCCAAGAAAAGGGAGACCCCGATCGATATAATTTCAGCCCGTATCATTTGGTATCAGAGCCCGGCAACGGCACACACGCTCAACGCATCGAAGCTCTCGAAACCGCTACTCAAGAGAACCAAACCGGCATCCAGGCGATCATCAATCAACTGCCGGCCGTCCAGACCGTTGTTAATCAGATCGCTCAAGATCAAGCAGCCAGGTCCGACGCACGATCCGCCGACGATGGCGAACGATCTGTCAATGGTCGTGGCCGACGACACCCACGTGTGGTTGATGACGATCAAGACCGCCAACCCTTTTTTGGGGCTAAACTTGCTCGTCTGGAGTTTCCCACCTATGCCGGAGAACATCCCACCGTCTGGTTCTCTCGAGTGGAACAATTCTTTGAGTTCCAAGCCATTCCAGAGGGCCAGAAGGTTACACAAGCCTCTTACCATCTCGAGGGCGATGCGAATCAATGGTGGCAATGGCTACGACGCACGTACCGCAAGGATGGAATACCCATAACATGGGAGAGCTTCACAACGGAGCTATGGGCTCGATTCGGTCCAACAGTTGGCACTGGGTTTGACGAAGCTCTTTCACGAATCCGGCAGACGGGTACCCTGAGGGAATATAAGACAGACTTTGAGAGGCTCGGCAATCGTGTTCGTGGCTGGACGCAACAAGCTTTGGTAGGGAACTTCCTAGGGGGGGCTCAAACCGGAAGTGGCGGATGGAATTAGGATTTTTAATCCCAGGACTCTCAAGGAAGCAATTAACTTGGCTCGAGTGCGAGACGAACAGCTCAACCGCGTCCAGAGTCCTCCGCGCAACGCGTATCGATCACCCGCTGATTACACGACGCCGCCGCGACTCAAATCCAAAGCCAACTTCGATGCCTCCTTCGTCGCACGCCCCCGAGCTGGAGAACACGCAGCTGAGGTGCCACCAACGAATCGTAATCGGCCACAAGCTCCGACCGGCAACAAAAGGTTGTCACACGAGTAGATCAACCGTCGACGCGCAGCTGGCCTATGTTTTAACTGCGACGAGAAATTTACCCCGGCGCATCGATGTGCCCGACCCAGGCTGATGTTGCTACTCGATGAAGATGAGGATGAGGTTGCCGATACTGCCGAAGTCTCATTCCACGCGATCACGGGCCAAACTGGGGGGCGAACCATGCGCGTCTGGGTTACTGTGGGTCAGACTCAACTGGTGGCCCTCATCGACAGCGGGTCCACGCACAATTTTATCAGCTCCAAAGCCGCTGATGCCCTCCAACTCGCCGGCACCCCGATCCCTGCTTTCAATGTGAAGATCGCGAATGGGGAACCACTGAAGTGCTCCGGCAAATATAATGGGGTCCAGCTTAACATTTAGGGGACCCAATTTCCGGTGACACTATTTGCGATTCCTCTCTCTGGGTTTGACCTTGTCCTGGGGATTCAGTGGCTGGCCACATTGGGCACGACCCAAAGCAACTGGCAAACGTTGGAAATGACCTTTATATGGGAAGGACAGCCCCGCAAGCTCCAGGGCATCACATTGAAAGGAGCTACGGCCGCGAGTGTTCGTGAGATCATCCGTGAAGCACCAGGCCTGCGGGCTATCTGTTTGCCCCCGCCAATAGACGAACCACTTCAACTAGTACCTCCCGAGCTTCAGGACGTCATCCGCGAGTTTGAGGCGTTGTTTGGGGACCCGAACCACCTTCCTCCGCGTCGTAACATAGGCCATCGCATCATCTTAAAAGAGGGCACAGAAGCTGTCAACGTTAGTCCGTATCGATACGCTTATTTTCAAAACGCTGAAATCGAAGAGTAGGTTAATAAAATGCTACAAGCTGGATTGATACAGCCCAGTACAAGCCTGTTCTCCTCCCCAGTCCTGCTCGTTAAGAAGAAGGACGACTCGTGGCGATTTTGCACCGACTATCGTGCGCTGAATGCGGTGACCATCAAGGATCGATTTCCGATCCCAACGGTGGACGAATTACACGGTGCGGCCTATTTTACGAAGCTCGATCTCCGCGTCGGGTATCATCAAGTCCGAATGGAGGACGAGGATGTGCCGAAGACGACATTTCGCACCCATAACGGCCATTATGAGTATCACGTTATGCCTTTTGGACTGTGCAATGCTCCGTCAACGTTCCAAGCTATCATGAATGAGATTTTTCGCCCTATACTCCGCAAGTTCGTCCTAGTCTTCTTCGACGACATCCTTATCTACAGCTTGGACAAGGAAAGCCATCTTGATCACGTCCGCCAGGTCTTCTCTATTCTTCAACACCATCAATTCTTTGTTAAGTTCTCAAAGTGCACGTTTGGTTTACAAGAAATAGAGTATCTTGGGCACATCATCACCGCCCAGGGCGTCAAGGTCAATCCACACAAGGTTAAAGAAATGGTGGATTGGCCGATTCCCACCACCATCACTGAACTGCGCGGCTTCCTCGGGCTCACCGGGTACTACCGGAATTTTGTTCAGAGGTACGGATCCATCGCGCGGCCTTTGACCAACTTATTAAAAAAGGGGCAGTTTGAATGGACACAAGACGCAACGGAAGCTTTTCACAACATGAAGACGACCATGACATCCACGCCAGTGTTGGCCATGCCGGATTTCAATGCCCCATTTGTCATCGAAACGGACGCGTCGGGAACAGGTATCGGAGCCGTCTTAATGCAAGCCGATCGTCCCATTGCTTACATGAGCCGGGCCTTGGGAAAATCCAAACAGTCGTTGTCCACGTATGCCAAAGAGATGTTGGCCAAGCTCCGGCGGAAAAACAGTAATCCTGGTCGTCGTCGACCGGCTGACCAAGTACGGTCACTTCCTGCCGCTGTCTCATCCTTACTCCGCCCGTACCGTGGCCGACAGCTTCATCACCGGGATCGTCCGATTACACGGGCTGCCTCGCTCCATTGGTAGCGATCGCGACCGGGTGTTTATGAGCCATTTTTGGCAGGAACTTCACCGCCAGTCCGACACCATCCTCAACATGTCATCGTCTTACCATCCTCAAACCGACGGTCAGACCGAAGTCCTTAATCGCTGCTTGGAACAATACCTTCGATGTTTCACTCATCAACAGCCGCAGAAATGGCTAGCTTCCCTGTCGTGGGCTGAATATTGGTATAACACCAGCTTCCACAGCTCAGCCGACATGACTCCTTTCCAGGCTCTCTACGGTCGCCGGCCTTCTGCCATACCCAACTATAGACCCGACACGACATCTGTTCATGAAGCTGACCGCGCCTTGATCGATCGCAACGAACTCCTCAATGAGCTGAAATCCAACCTCGCGGTGGCCCAGAACCGAATGAAACAGAATGCTGATCTTCGCCGCCGAGAAGTGAAGTTTAATGTCGGCGATTGGGTTAACTTGAAGCTCCAGCCATATCGCCAGCATACTGTGTTTTGTCGCGCATCTCAGAAGCTGGCCTGTCGCTACTACGGGCCGAACATGATCACAGAATGTATTGGTTCTGTGGCTTATCGCCTCACTTTACCCGCTGGTAGCCGCGTTCATCCCGTCTTCCATGTTTCCCTGTTGCGCCGTTGTTTGCTTCCCAACCCAGCTGCTGCAACTGAGGTTCCTCCCATTGGCGATGAAGGAGATCTTCTTCTCCAGCCTGAACGTATCTTAGAGACCCGCTGGGTCAAACGCGGCTCTCGCCTTTAATGAGGAGTTGCTCGTCAAGTGGAAGCGCTTGGCTGCCGAAGACGCCACCTGGGAATCTGCCGTCGTCTTCAACGAGCGCTTTGTTCAGCTCGGCATTGAGGACAATGCCAATTCTTCTGGGGGTGGTAATGATGGGCCACCACGTCATGATGGGCCTCCACGTCATTCGACACGGGTACCACAGCCCAACTCCCGCTACCGCGATTACGAGTAAACAGGAACTATTGAGCTTGCCGAGGGTAGGAGTAGTGTTTGTTATGGAACGAGTCAAGAGGGTATCTGCAACTGGTTGTTTTGGTTGTTTCAAATAAATATCATCTCCACCTTAAGTGGACGAGGGTTAGGTAGACGTGGGAAAGTAGTCCCTGCTTATTAGGATTTCTTTGTTTCAAACATTGGTTATTTAAGTTCTCCATGAATGAATAAACGGCAAGCATTATTGAGTCAATATACACACTGGTAGTTCTAGCCAAGAAAGTAGAGCACTGGTCTCTTCCTGCCAAGAAAAGGGAGACCCCGATCGATATAATTTCAGCCCGTATCATTCCGTATCAACTTGATATGCATTTATTAAGTATGCTTATGATTTCCACGTAAGCAAGTTTCAAGAATTGTAATTGAATTTCAAAGCATTTGTTGAGAACATTTAAGAAAAGTTTTCCACAATTTTTCCAGATATTTTCGATTTTGTTTATGGTTAACCATTTACTTAGGGTATTTGGTAAAAGTAATGCCTAGTCAGGCTAGGGTATTACAAATAATATTGTCGCTGCAGTGTTTCTCGACCGGGTTATTATTAACTAGCAGAGGCTAATTTGTCTTTCCTTTGAAATATAAATTATTTCATTGAGGATTTTATTTATAGTATACTAAATTAATTTTATGAATATTAAATAATAAGAAATGAGCTTTAGTGCATTTGTTCTATACTTATGTGTCACCTCAAGTGGATGAGATCAATCTCTTTCATAAGCATCGGAAGGCCTATGTTATCTTCAAATAATTCTAGTTTAATGTTGCGGAGCCCGATGGTATTCGCGTTGTCATGAGATACAAATAAGTTTTAGTTAGAAGTTAATTTATTTTGTTTTGTAAGGGTGAGAAGTTGATCTATTGAGTCTTGACATTTACCTTGATATTGCTAATTCGGTATTTTTTGTTTTTATAAGGGTCTCATAGGTTGATTTTTATAATTAGGTGCTACCGTAAAAATTTAAACCGATGACTTTTAGATTCAAGACTAGTGATATTAGTACTAAGTCAATCGCTTGTTTGCTTGACTATGCAGCCCAAATTAGAACCCTCAGTCCATCGAGTTGTGTCTACTAGTGCTACATACGAATGGGACTCACGTTGTCAACATCTTTTGATGAGGGTCTTGATTCTTGAAGCCATAAAAAGGATGAGTTTATTTTAAGGGATTGCTAATTGTTGCTCTAACTACTATAATCGCCCTATATTAAATTATTTTTTTTGTTGGTATTATTAAGGTTAATTTAGTAATTTTATATTTTAAATTAGGACGATAATTGTAAAATTAGGGGTTATAGTAGTTAACTTGACCCTTAAAACCCACCGACCCGTTGTCTACAGAATCAACTTAGGGTTGGGTCAGCATAAGATCGGGTCAGGGTTAGGTAAGGTCGGATCAATTTAGGGTCGGGTCACTTTTTGACCCTATGACCCTTAGCATCATACAAACATGTTGGAACTATTTGTAAAGTTTTAAAAGTTTAGGTACTAAAATTGTAAAAAAAAAAAAAGGGTACCAAAACGCAATTTTACCATCAGATTTTTGGGACTTATTTGTAACAAATAAATTTTAGGTACTAAAATGTAAGAAAAAATAAAATTGGGAACCAACTTGTAATTTTTAGAAAAGTAGTGTATTTATTAGGGTCGACCCACTGACTCGACCCTTCCTGACCCGCCCCGATCCTAAAGGGTCGGATAGGGTCATGAAAGAAATAGGAGCGCGGCGGGTCAGTTATACATCTTGACCCTTCAGGGGCAGGGTCAGACAGGGTCAGGGATGGGTCGGACCCATTTTCAGCCCTAGGGATCACTGCCCAGGGAGGAGTTCGATGACGGCAGAATAAGTGGTCAGCATGGAGGGACGTCGGTGAAAGCCTCCATGCCGCCGCCCTCGTTGGAGGAGATGAAAGCCTCTGTGTCGCCGCCCGACTGTGCGTGTAGGGCTTTTTTTGTGTATTATTACGGTTAATTTAGTAATTTTATATTTTAAATTGGGATGATAATAGTAAAATTAGGGCGATGTTTAGCCATTAAATTAAATGTTAAAAGAGTATAACCACCAAAGGAGTTGAAGAGATTTGGTCTGGTTGTAATAAGCGCGTAAATACGTTCATGTAACGTGTTCCATCATATCAGCTGTGCATGCATTACAAGTCAGTAGTGAACAATTCGATCTCACCAATTCAGTTGGGTCTGTTCTCAGTAACAGAAAGAAAGAAAAAACTAAGTCGACCACACTTAGGGAATTTAGTGCGAGATGGTTCGACTGGTGAATAGCTACAACATCGATATTGACACAGAACAGAAGTGAACAATACAACAGAGCTATTTGTCGGCCCAAAAAGGGAATAGACGCCACAAAAACAGTTGCCTTTGTTAACCATAAACAGCTTACAGCACTTGTTAGGCTAACACATTCTAATGTTTTCTCTCCCACTTGCCCTCGCGCCTTCCCTCCCTTTCTCTTCGCTCCATTGATTGTTTCGACTTGCTCCCTCTAGACCCTTGCCGTTGGCCCGACCCAAAGCCACCACCCGACTGGCCATCAAATGCAGACATCAGTTCGGGATCCCCAACACTGTTAGTGTCACCTGAATCCCTGCTGCCTTCAAAGTTCTCTTCATAACCGCTCCCGCAGTCATCTTGACGGTCCCTGGACTGAAGGATCGTCGGTGGCTGCCCTGAAAATGAACGAGGTCCACCAGAGAAGACCATGGCTGGAGGAACGCCCATTGAAGAACTAGTACTGGCATTTTCAGCTGTGCTGGTTCTGCTGCCCCCGTCGTTGCCTTGCCTTCCATTTTCCCTATCTCGATATCTATCCCGAGACCGGCTGCAGGAAAGAACACCTTTAGCAAACCCTTGACAAATAAGCCATATTTCGGTTTTAACCACTACTTCCATGTCACCTTAAAAGATGCCGACTGCCAACTAATGTACTTTCAGCATCACGCTACTTTCTTGGATAGCCATTACGGCCACTTTTAAGTATTACCACATACACAAATTTCTATTCTATCAAGAGTATAATTAACCTCGGGGCCCTAATCTTTTTTTGGTTTCTGGGTTAAATTGTGGATGGCCGTTATAAAACAAATTGTTTTCGGTGACAAGCCAATAATATAACCGTAAAATGCAAGATAACCAGCAATGGAAGAATTACATTTCAGCAAATTAATCCACAAGCATATATAACCCAGTCCATACCGGTTAGTAAGCTTGGTTCGGTTTTCCCAATTGACCATTAGATTAGCATTTGCGTCTAACCATTTGCTTGACAGTTCAATCATGGTTTTGGGCCCCTTTAGCGGGTTTCGGTTCAGTTAACACTTAACAGAGCCTGCGAGGCCAGAGTCTATGTATCTTGTAACTCATGGAAGCGATACTAAAAACACAGGTCGAGCACGCAAGCACACATAATCTCACATCTATGTTGAACGGTTCACGATTTGTACCTGGTATGTGCCGCTGAAGGGAAGTCACGCCGTGACGATCGCAAACCAGACTCAGCCTGCTCTAACTCTCGCTGAAGTTCTCTCTACAAGAATTGTGACTATCATGAGACGCGTGCAAAAGGATATTTGACCAAGGAAACACGTGATGACAACGTGGAAATAACTATTGGTAAGTTTTTAGCAGAATAATGGAACATGTAGCCTTCAGATGAATACAAAGGTTAGGAAACCAACAAAAGCAACCAAGTTGAAGAAGCAAAAAGTCCCTCAATATTACTTAACAGACAACAAAACAAACCAAGTAAAAGACCATCTACTGCTTAAGTTGGAAGATGCCTGTCCAAGGTGACACCCAATCCAAAACCGTTATGCTGCATCCAACGAGTGTAAAAGAAAGCACCCAAAACTTGGCAACATCTCACACCAAAGGAAGAAATAACCACGTTAAACACCATCAGACCTTGTTACTTCCGGGGTTTATTCTTGGGTAGAGAGTTTGCGCGGATAGGGACCTTTAGTCTTTTATCATTTCACCAAAAAAAGACCCAATGATACCATGTGAACCAAATGACAAATTCAAGAGGCACGAAGCAGTACCTGTGCTTGCCGCTCCTTCTCAATTTCAAGATTATGGCGGAGCTCCCTAGTTTTTGCACGCTCAACCTCAAGCAACCTCTGTCTCTCAATCTCCTTTTCTGTTTCACTAGTTCTCTGACTGTCATGCAATTAAGGTTTTATCAGAATATTTAGAAGACAAATATTCCTCATTTACCCTCTTGAAAACTTGAAGGAAATGTAAAGACCTATCAAGCTCCCGAAGAAGTTCCTCTTCCCGCAGAGCTGCTGCTTCTTTATATTTTTGCCGGGCTTGTCTCATAATTAGTTTCCTTTGCCTATGTGCTATTACATCTTCTTGGAGCTTGGACCTATCGCTGAAGGGGGGAAAGAGGGGAAAACGGGGAGCATGTATGGGGGTTAACAGTCTATGATAAAAATACATATTGAGAGGACAAAAGACAGCATACTGAAAAACGGAAATATAATAGGCTGCAGTTCTATCTTCACATGTTGCTTAAATAACATTACTGTAGTGAGGAGACCTTAACCGAAATTGTGATATCAATTCTAAGGGTCACGTGAAAAGATGGCACTTACAATGAACGGATATGATTCTTGATTTGCTGCAGACGGCTTTTGCCTTCTGCAGAGGCTGGACAATAATGTAAATCAGTATCAATGATACAGTATCCATGGATGAACCAATGTTTAATTGTTTACAATAAAACAAATATTCGGTAGTTGTCAATCATTACCAACAATTAAAGGAGTATTCCTCTCTTCTTTCCGACCATCTAAAGATTCTCCTGCCGCCAATCCTTTTTCAATAATGTCTAGTTCGACTTCAGCCTCCTCCAGTTCCTATGTGTTTAAAAATGGGATTATGTACAGTGAAAGTGGAGAGAATGAAGGAGAGGAGAATGAAGTCATCACTCTTACCATCTTCTCCTGGTCAATTCTATCAGAGAACACATCAAAATAAGACTGAACAGAAGACAGATTGGCGAAAACCTGAAATAATTTACAATTCGATCAATATCGCTTCAAAGATAAGTATGCACCGCAAAATATTCATAGAAGTTAAATAAACAGTCTACAATTTAATGGAGATAAGAAAAAACGATTAACCATCATGAAAAAAGTTGGAAAAAACCGAAATTAATGAGGATTGACATATTTGATCCACATGGAACAAAAAAATTTGTTCTACCACAGAAACTTTAACATCAAAGCTTTTTTTTTTTTATACAACATCAAAGCTTTGTTGATGCCAAGTTTTATATCCTACTAGACTTATTGCGACTACCTGGAGGATTGATTCACGTATGCCTCCAAAATCTGATGCAAGTTGTTGTGAAGAATTTTCAGAGAGCATCCTTCTCAGCACCTAAAAAAGAAAGAGGAAAACAAAAGAAGCCATTATTAACTCCTACAAATACAATACTTAAAACGCACCAGTTTATACGTTATCTTGTATACATGAATGTTAGCAGTAGTGGCTGGGTTACGGGCATATACCTCTTTTGCTTCATCCCCGTCCTCTCTCACCCTACATAATGCTCTGCAAACATTTTTCTCTAGTTCACCTAAGTAGCAGGCTAGAACGTCAGGAGCAGGAGGCAGAAATTAAAGAAAGAAAAGTCCTTAACCATTAGAGTTCCATCTATCATGATCAAGTGAACTTACCGGTTCTAGACGATTCGACAGTTTCAACATTTCTCCAAACATTTTCTGGTATCAAAGAAACATCTTCAGCAGGGGAGTGGAGGCAAACACTTGCAAGAAGTGCTAATGAGAGCCGCAGTAATTGGCCTTCACGTGTAGGGAAGGCAGATTTTCCTATTACATGCAGAATGCTATCAGATCCAACTAGAAAAGACTGTAACTGCTCCTTGTCAGCATGTGGTACATATCCTAAAAGAAGTGCCATAGAACATGTTCTCAACGGTAATAATTTGTCAGTCGATGCCAACAATACTACCCGATCCCATGTCCTTGAGACTAGAAATGACAGAAACGACTCAGAAACTGCCAGAGCTGACCCTAAGCTGGCCTTAAGTGTAGCATCCTCAAAAACAGCTTCTCCAGATAAATCCAGGCCAAGCAATCTACCCAAATGTCGAAGAGCCACAAACCTTTGCTCGGGCTCAGGATTACCCAGCAATGAAACAAAAAGTTCAGCAAGAGACTCATCTTTTTCTTGAATAGAGAGCACATTTCTTGCAAATAGCATTGACAACCATTTATCAGACTGCATGCGCCAAGTAAGTTTTGGTGCCCCACTTGAAAACTTGAGTATTGCAGAGCAGATAGTACTAACAATATTATCCAGCTGGAGACAATATGGCACTTCAAGTAGACAATCAAGCATCAGTGATGCGACTTCCCAGCAGTGATTTTCTTGAAGCTCCAAAATACTTGCAGCAAATTTTTCCAAACTGGTCGTCCAATGTTCTGGAAAGTCATCCACAGAATTGACTGGTAAATGAATTTCAAGACCACCGTTAGCACCTTTCAGTTGTGGCACAACTGAAGACAAGCAGTGCAAGTACACAAAACATTCAGATGAAACAACAGTCAGCTGTTTTCCTAGACGTTGATGGAGATTCCAACATGGCTCAATGTTTGGATGCAGCTTCACGATCAGATTCTCCAAGTCACTACAAAAGCCTTCAATATCCTCTGGAGATAAATGATGGTGCTCTTCCTTTAACACCATCTCATTCAAATTATTAGTTTCCACCTCTGAACCCTTTACTGGACGACAGATAAAGCAAACATCATTCAGAAACTGAGTATGCCTCCCTGTGTGATTGCTTGAACCCAATTCCTCCATGACTTTGGGGCAATGCTGCAACTGAACAGGCACGAAACCTAGGAATCTTAAAGTCTGAACTAATAGATTTTTGCAGCTCTCAAGAAAAGCTTGTAATGCACACAAGTAATCATGGAAAGAAGTGGTCGACTCAAAGCTAGTAAAGCAGACCCAGAAAACCAACGACTGCAAAATGTTTCTTCTGCACTCGACGGATAAATCACCAAAGACAGAAGCCAAGGCAAAAATATTCAATGCTCTAGACCTCCCTTTTCCAGTAGAAACATCTTCAGGTCCGTTCCTCAGATCGGCAAGGAGATCCCCAAAGCACAGCAGCTCAAAATTAATACAAGAATCATCAATGAACGCCCTCTCTTGCTCAGATGCCTTACGTAGTGAATATGATATGATCGGCTTCAGCAGTTGCAACACAGAATCAAGAAATGATACATCATAATATGAAGACCGACAAATAGACACCAGCACTTGAACAGCTTTTGGCACCTCTGGCACCATGGCTTCCATGTGCTCCTTCACAATGGATTCAAGTATGTAAAGGATGATTGCTTTGGCATTCTTTGCTACATAACCTTTCACATATAGCTGATTGTGCTGATAACAACTATTTTGTTTCTGTGAAAAAAATGGCCATGTACACAGATCTGAAAACCAGCACAAAATGTCAGGCACGACACTTGAAGAAAGTGATCTTAACTGCAATCCAACAGCTTCCAAAATGTCCTCCGCAAAACCTTTGAATTGCTTCCTCAGATTTGGGAAGAACTTGCAAAGGTCGGGGTAGATTAAATAAAAAGATCGATCTGTATGTTGATCGCCATCTAGTGCGAAACCGCCATTATTAACAGTATGAACAAAGGCACCATGCTGATTAGTTCGTGTACCTTTATCTCCCTGGTTCGCAACGCAATCAACTATTGCAAGCTCATCCGAGAATATATATAATAAATCTGTTAGCTGAGGCAGATCTGTTGCAAGGAAAAGGCGGTGCTTGGTGTACCATTTGGCATTACGAGATACTGCCATCCAACCAAGAAATCGAACAAGAGGGCATACATTGCAAGAAAATGCTGATATTCTCTCAATCCAGGCTGATGGTGG